AAGAGTTAAAAGTAGAGTCTTACTAACTCTTACCTAGTTTTTTTACTTTAACTATATAGTTATTTTTTTAATACTTAATTTCGGCAGGTTAGAGTGTAGTCTACTATTCTTTTCTAAGATAAATAATCTAATACGCTATATAGTAAATAGAGAAAAAAAGTTAAGTTATAGAACTAATCTAGAATATCTAGTTATGTAGTAGATTCTCTATAAACTAAATAGAGATTATAATCTTATCTATAAAAATAAGAAATACTAGAATTTATATACTTAATATCTTAATACTTTATATTAGTATAACTTACTTATAATTACTTAGCGAAATTCTCTTTATTCTTTCTCGTTTATCTAAGCTTATAATAAATAACTAGAAAAAGATCTTACTTATTATAAAGCTAATATTATTAATGTTTTAAATAACTTTATTTATAATACAATACTTTATCTTATATTCTAAATTAACTTAAACTAGATCTTAATAAGCGCCTAGTCTTTATAGAGAGCTTACTAGTAATTATATTAATAACTCTAGTGCGAATATAGCTTAGAATTCTACTAAATAAGCCTACTAATCTAGTTCTTACTAACTTTCTCTTTATTACGCTCTTAGAGAAGTTGATAAGCTATATCTTATATAGTATCTCCTCTATAAAGTAATTCTTACTTAGTTCTAACTATTATATATTAAGTAATAGTTTACTCTTTTAATTTTATTAGACGCTTTCGATTCGCCTTATAATTATGTTAAGAGCGTTATCTAGCGCGTTACTCTAAGATTATAATCTATAGAATACTATATATAATAATAGCACGTATTTGAGTTTAGACCTAGCGTAAAGTATAACTTTTAATAGCTGAGTAAGCATCTACTTAACTATAGGCTTATTATATATTAAGTTTTTAAGATATTATATATTATTATTATAAAGTTAGAATATAATAGTAGAGCTAATAATATAGTAAAGTTAATAACTTAGTAGTAAAATATATTATACTTTTACTAAAATTAACACTTTTTACTATTTATTTATTAATCTATCTTTAGAGACTCTAAGCTAAGACTTTAGCTTAGGGCCTCTCTTTTCTTAAGTCGCTATTAGCTAGATTCTTAGCCTTCTCTAGCTACTTCTATTTTTTACTTTTAGAGAAGGCTTTAGCTCTCTTAACCTAAACGTTATTTAGATAGTTTTTAACTTAATAATTTAGCTCTTTATAGCTATAGTTATTCTCTAGAGTTTATCTTAGTTTATTTATCTTCTCTTATACTTATTTAACTCTTATAATTTCTTAGTATATTACTTCTAAATTATTCTTTTACTAAGTAGCTTTTAAAAATACTTCTAGATAATTATAGTCTATATTCTATTAATTTCTTATATATCGTTTAATCTAATATAGATTATAAGAAAGCTTAATTACTTTATTTATATACTTCTTTAAACTTCTTTATTTATATAGAGTATTAGATTCTAGAGCTTCTTTTTAAGTTTTTTCCTAAATATTTTATTAGCTACTACTAAACTAAATACTTATTTTAACTCTATATAGAGTTAATTTAACTCTAAAAAATATTTATATATTAGCTATTATTTTTACTTAAAGTATTTAAGCTTAGTTAGAGCTTTCTATTACTAGTAAATATTTTATAAGTAAGTATCTTTATCCTCTTATAATTTAGTATTTATTTACTCTTAATTCTTAAGTATATAGATAAGAAAAATTACTCTACTTTTTTCTTTATTTAGCTAAGTATACATTAAACTTTTAACTTCTATATTAGAAATATATAAAGATTATACTCTAGATTTCTTTTATATTTTAACTAATAGCTTAAATAATTTATATAAGTTCTATTAAAATATTCTAGATTTAGAAATAAATTCTTATAAGCTTTAAGCTTAGTAATTATTATTAGTAGTAATAGTTAACTATTTACCTTTAAGTAGGCTTCTAAGTATTTTTTAGCTTAGTTTTATTTAAGTACCTCTAACTTTCTAACTATTAGCCTAAAAAGTTATATAATCTACTCTATAATCTAAACTATAGTACTCTAGTTACTCTTTAGTAAACTCTTTTATCTTAGTATACTTCTTTCTTTTACTACTATTAAATATTTTATAAGTACTTTTATTATTAAGCTTATTTTTACTTTTTTTTATTCTTTTTCTTAGTATTTATATCAAGAGCTTCCCCTCTATAGGCAGCCTTGCACCATCCCGGGCTAGTCTAGCCCTTATTAGCCTATCTTAGTTATATCTAGCTTATTAAAGTAGATATAAGTATAGAGAATAGTACCTAAGCTTAGTAGCTGTTCGTCTACGTAAAATATAGACTGTTTACTTAAGACTACTATTATTTTACTCTACCCGTGCCTAATAACTCTTAAACGTCTTATAATTTATATAATCTTATATAAGATCTCTTTATCTAAGAGTTTTATATAGCTCTTAGTAGTAGTATACGTTACTAACTCTTCTATATTTAACTTAAAACTATTAATCTTTATTTTACTATTTTAAGAGAGCTCTAAGAAAACTTTATTAACTACTTTTATTTTATTATTATATATAGCTTTTAATTATCTCTTAATTTACTTATATAGTTCTAGACTATAGTCTACTTCTTATTTATAAGAACTAATAGAGTTTATCTTTAGCTATTTATATTACTAGCTAGAATCTAAATAGTACTTTACTACTATTATAGTATATCTCTAAGAAAACTTATATTTTACTATTTTATAATTAAAATTTTATCTCTTATTAAGAGTAATTATATAGTCTTTATCTTATTTAATAGAGAATTAATAAAACCTTTTTACTATAATATTAACTTTTAGTTAACTATATACTAAGTCTAAGTAGTCTTTAAGTAGTTTACTCTATAATAACATACTTATAGCTTTACTTTTTAAGATATAGTAAAGCTTTTAATAAGTTTTAAGTAACTCTTTTATTTTCTATCTTTTATAGCTAAGCTTTCTATAAAGCTCTACTTTAGATATATTATAATATAATAGTCTATTTACTTACTATACTAAGATCTTTAATATCTATTCTAGTACTAACTTTCAATTATTAACTTATACTAATAGTATATTCTAAAGCTTAGTTAAAAGATAGTCTAGCTACGGCTTATATCTAACTAGAATTAAATATAAAATATAAGAGATTATACTCTAAAGAGTAACTATAAGGTATATTAAAGATTATATTTAATAAAAAGTTAACCTTCTAAGCTATATAGCTTTTTATAAATAAAATAGTTATCTAAGTAATAATTAGACTAGTAAAGTCTAAGTATATAAGATAGCTTCTAGATTCTATAGCTATTATCTAAATAGTATTTAGGTAGTACGTAGAGAATCTAGGTACTTAAGATAGTACTTAGATTCTATAAGTAGGCTAAGATTCTATTAAGAAGCTATCTTAAGAGCGCTAAGTCTATTATAAATATCTTTTAAAGATATTTTAAAAAGATTAGGTATTACTCTATCTAGAGATAAAGAAGTATTTATTAACTAGTCTACTCTAAAGCTATAATAATAGTATTAGAGATAATAGAGCTTATTATAAAGCTTATATTATTTAAGTTATATATATAATTATTTTAGATTCTACACTTAGCTTTTATATTAGCTACTAGACTAAATTAGTCTTATATAGTTATAGAGCTCTTATAAAGAGCTTTTTTATAGTTATTTTTATAATTAAACTTTACTTTAAGTTAAAAATAACGCTTAATAGATATATTAATCTAGTTTTAGCTAATTTAGTTTAGATTATACTTTGTATAAAAAAAATTAGCTTATTTAGTTACTATACTTAGTATATAAAGAAGTAGCTATATTAGCTATAATTATATACTTAGACGAAAATCTATATAAAATAATGTTAAGTATGTACTAAATAATTTTTTTTAAGCTTAGTTAAAATTATTATATTAAGCTTATTATTTATTTATTCAAAAAGAAAAAAAAGTATATTACTTACCTAGTATTATAAAAGGTATATTAAAGATAGCTATAGTATATTACTCTAGGAGATTCGTATCTCATTTAAGAGCTTAAAGAGTAGGCTATATTTAATATTTATAAGAGGGCTCTAACTACTGTTATTATTATAATATTTATAGATAATAAGTAGTTTAGTGGGGTCTTGGCAAAAGTGGCCGGCGAACCCGTGTGGCCGGCGAACCCGTGTGGCCGGCGAACCCGTGTGGCCAGCGAACCCGTGAGGTACGTTACTTAAAGATTCTACTAGAGCTATATGCTCTATCTTTATAGATTTTTCGCCTCTAGCCTAAGTAGTATCTAACGGGTCCCTAAGGGCTGGCCTTTACTATCTACAGTATCGTGGCACCCCACCTGCTTCGACGATGCTCTTTTAATACAATGCTCCTCGCATCGCGACTCCCTGCCGAGGCCGGTATTCAATTTACGCACATGAATGCATCTTCGTACTGGTAGCGTTCACAGTACCAACATTCGACTTTGAAATTGCTACTACTAATGTCGACACTTTGTTTGCTTGCGGTTGAATCGATATGCTTGCCAAACGCAACTTGCTTCCCTATAATCCATCTCACAACGATTAACACGAAGAATACGGAGCGATCGTTACTCTAATTGTCGCTACACAACATCGCAGCCGCAAACATAGATAAGTCAACGAGGAACTATTTAGGTTTATACTCTTGGTCAGTCTGACCAAGCACGGCAATAGAGTATTAGATGAAGCTGTTTAAATTCGAGAGACTTCAGCCCGAGGACGTTATTGGCCAGGTCTCGGATAATAAGGATGCTTTCATTAGCTACGGTTGCCCTAATTATCATAAAGGGATCAAGAGATTACTTTTCGTTCATCATCACAACAAAGAGCAGGACACTTACTGACATCTCTTCCATCCGCTTTCTCCGGGATGTTAGCATGAATGAATTTCTCCAAACACATTTTCGCGGGTAGAAGCGGATGGATGTGCACACATAGAGCAGATTTCCTTTAAATGGCACTAGTAGAACATTAGAGTTTTCTCGCAGTGCATTCAGCCACCCAGGCTTCATTGTATGTGCATTTGGAATGGTATGTTAGCGGGTCCTTGTAAAGCTAGATTTCATTTAGCTAACTGTCTTCTAGACTAATTCACCAAGATATATAGCACATAGCGCTTGCGTAAGTTGTCAAGTCTCAATGCAGGTTGAGTCTTACTTCTACCAGTGGTTCGGCTTTGTTGTGATAAGTGGAGAAAGACTACATGTTTAATCTTGATCTAGAACCTGGAGACATGTTCAAATAGTATAAAGCTCTATGGTTGTATTAAGGTCTTGGAAGAAGAGACTTAGTTCTGTTAAACGGGGTGTGTTATGTAGGCTATGGTTCGTTGTTGGTTGTCTTACGGTAGCCGCGTGTTAGTCTATGATGGCTCACCCTTCATACCCGAGCCTACAGTCACTCTTATTCTGGCCTCCATGTTGAAGTGAAAGTTAAACTGAAAGACTAGACAAATGGCTAATGTGTGCGTTCGTATTGTTTCTCTTTTAGCCATATCCGCCTTCAGGAGCGGTAGCTAACCCTGAGGGCCCCGAATACTTTGAGCAATTCGGAGCTTAGAGCAGAGGCTAGGAAGCAGCTTGTAATGATGGGGTGCTCGAAGATGGCTTGTAGCATTGGTTTACGTATGAAGAAAGTAGTCGATCAAAATTGGGAAAGTCGAGAGAGAAAGGCTGGCCAACCAGCAAAATTCGTTTCATTGAAAGCATAGGTCTTCACCTAAATGGGAATTGACATTAGTAACGATAAAAGTATCATTTAGAAGAGGATATCCTACATGGTACGCCGAATTCACATTTGCGTATGATTGTAGCGCGTAGCCGTGATTGGGGTGGGCATTCGATTGCAGAGTGAATTCTGGAATCGAAGTGCCATTTCCTAGTGCACTCAACCGACGTTGGTCGATTCCTGAACTAGGAAACTTCGCCTTTGTCGCAACAAGACGGGCCAAGTTTCCGAAATCTCTGACAAAAAGAAATGCGACAGCGGAATCTGTTGCATAATCTAGATAGCCAAAGTATCCAGCAGCCAGATCGAGAAGTCCAATATCCCGAGTCGACGATTCCGGCAACGGGTTTCAAGAACATGAACAAATAAATTCATTATGCCGATCATTGGGAGGTAAAAGACCAACCTAGAGATTGTTAGCCTGTCAATGGAACCTACATATGCTTTCAGGGTACGTACCAAGCTGGGGCTGTTGAATCAATCAAGATAGATCTATTGAGTAATATGATGCTTCTCGATGCTTCTGCCATCCTGGTGTTGCTGACATTGACTTAATCTTGCAGGGTTGTGTCGGTTTGATCTGATGGAGAATTGATGTTCCGTGGATGCCTGATTATACAATGCACTATGGTAAGAACACTGTGATGCGATAGTTCAATATACATCAGATGGTTGATGTGCAAGCCCAAGGGGGCCTGCGCGCGAAGATCACTGCCAGTCTTGGTTCTGAACGCGAAGGGAACGTTGTTATACCACGTTCGCAACTGCTGATCGTACTGGTGCACTGTCTTCGCGATTTGTTGCAGAGGCTGTCGCCGAGCCTTGGTGGTCATCAAGCCTTCGAGAATGGCCGAGGATATCTGAGCATGCTGAATAGCGCACCGCATGAACGCCAGAATGTTGGGGTTTCCATCAGGTGCTACGGTAGGAAGCTCGCAATCTATGTCATCGTCATCAATTGCCTGTCAGTATGTCAGTCAGATTTTGCGGTATCCGTGGGGCCGGTGATGTACGGATGGACGGCCTGATCGCAACGCGAGATGTTTTTCGAAACAGTAGATGGACCACAATAGCCAATGGCGTCTGCTATCGTCTTTTCGTATTGATGTGGAATTTCTAGAGCGAAGATGCAGTCCTCTAGGGTTCTCTCAAAGTAAGCTATCATTTGATCAAATCATAGTTAATGGCGTAAATATCTTGGCAAGAGGTATCGGAAATTCTACCCTGTAGAGTAAAGCCAACTCTGGAGAATGATCGGAAGCCCTCGTCTTGTTGATGTTCTTTTGCAGTTGTAATTTTTGATTGATGGCACCAATCATTGAGCTTGCATTGCTCTGGTAAGTTGAGTCCCCGATCCGATTGGTAATCCAACTCAAACCGGGATCAGGACATGGTGAAAGATAAGAAGCTGGACCTGCTTCATTTAGATGATTGATGAATTTCCCGCCATCCCAAGTGTTGACTGACCATGGTTTTCATCGCGACTAGCCTGGACCGTGTGGTTAGTTGAAAACTACCTGGGTAGCAAGGAAGCTTTTCATACCGGTTGTTCAATGTTACGAGTCTCATCCGTTTGATCCAAGACATATGCAGAGCTATGTTGAATTGGGTCGAATGTCGCGCTGGATCGCGCAGATGAACGACAAGGAGAGAATGGGAACTGCACGGGGACTGGCTGCGTGCTCGTACCAATGTGCTCGTGAGGGTGAGGTGAGGGTGAGGGTGGGGGCAAGCTTGTTTGGAGAAGGTATCATAGCTGGGATCAGAGTGGTTGATTCCAGGTTGGTTGTGATCAAGGGGTGGTGGATTGGATAAATTTCCATCGCTCTGAATTGGGCCGGGATAGTTGATATCTGAAATGGTGGGGGTAGTCGACGTGCCTGGTACTACAGTATTCAACCGACTGGCGTCTTCTGCTTCAATACTCGAGAGGGAGCGGGGAGATGGGCGGTGCGAGTGAGAGGGCGAGGGTGGCTCTTGGGCGATGCCGGAAGCTCGAAGAAGATGATTGGCTCGGTCCAACTGTTGTTGAAGCTGCTGCACCTTGTCTTTGGCCGACCGACGAGGCCTGGGATTGTTAGCAGCGGCGAAGCGGCAATTGGTGCGTCTGTTCTGTTGCCATGGGCGTCAGTATTCACATGTACTCCATCGGATGCGGCGGGAGGTGCTAATACCAGACAGCTTCTGCAGGGCCGGTTGCCGTCACACTTGATTTTCTTCAGCCTGCACCTGTCGCAGGCCATGGCGGCCTTTGCTATGGGCCTTTTCCTGCGACGTGATTCCGAGCCAGAATCGTGCTCCGACTGCTGTCCGGTCGCTTGGTCGCGGTCCATTCTCAGAGCGTATGGCCTTGTTGGCCGACTGATAGCTCATGAGCTCAGCGTGCGGGCAAGGGCACGGTTCCCGGCTTGAGGATACTTACTTACTATGCCGATGGTGATGCGATGTTTGTGGTGGTCGCCAGCACTGTACACGCTTGTCGAGGGAAGTTCACCAAGTCATCAATAGTCGTACTTCCTGTCTGCACTTGCACTGGCAACGCCCCCGCTACTATTACTTACCCTGGATGTCTCCCGCATCCTTCCTGTTGGATTTGCCCGCACTCGACTGTTTGGGGCGGATCAACGACATAAACATGGCAGACCGAGCGCGTCGTCGCCCGGATCGCTTGCTTCCGAACCGGACCCCGTCTGCCCGTCTCCTTCTTGACCACCCCACACACCCCATTCACCTCTTCATCATACACGGCCAAGGCAGAATTCGAAGCTGTTTGCGGAGAGTCTAATCGGCGCAGACTTTGATTCAGATGACCTCGTCCGCCGGCTCCAGAGCGGCGAGTCCCACGCTAGCATCAAGGAGAGAGTAGAGATTGGCCCTCAGTCCCTGCCAGTCGCATAAGGTTGATGAAAAAATATCTGCTACACCCCTAACTCGATTTGCTGTTGCATGCGCAGCCAAACGGGAGTGTGGCCATGACCAAATATCTATCAGAATAGCTTTTTAGGTAGCAGTAGTTCAATGTTACCAAATCATATAGGAGTGTATTTCACCCCCATTTCACTAATAGCTTGATCCGTGAGAAGAGCGTTAGAGTTGAGCTTCTCGAAAAGAACCAATCGAACAGAACGAAAGCCACATCATGCTGCATTGATTGGTTTGTTATTCATTATCCACTTGCTAACTAACATCTGCTGAGCTGTCAAGGGTTTCTAGAAAGATTACAACTCATCAAGACGTCTTCTCCCACCTCATTGTGTTCCTCATCCGTCCTATACCCTCAATATCGATTTCGACAACGTCACCATCACTCGACCATTTAGGAGGCTTCATAAACGCTGCAACTCCACCAGGCGTACCCGTCATAACCACCGTGTCTTTTCGCAAGGTAGTGCCCCGGGTTAGATGACAAATGATGTCCGCTGCAACAAACACAAGGTCGGTCGTACGTGCGTCCTGTCGCACTTCACCGTTGACAAATGTGCGAATGCGGAGTCCCAGCTTCTCATCCACCATCGAAGGATGCAGGATCGTCGGACCGAGAGGGGCGAATTTATCAAACAATTTGGCAGATCCATGCTGGTTTCCCGATCCTTCAGGCATCTGCCAAAAGCGCGAAGATACGTCATTGCCGCACGTGTAGCCCAGAATGCAGGAAAGCGCTTCTGCTCGGTCCTTGACATTCTTGCAGTCCTTTCCGATGATGAAACTCGGCTCTGCCTACATTGCGTGGTCAACTTTCTTGAAGCGTTGTGCGTTTGGCAATGCTTCCATTGTTGCCTTGGGATCATACCTCGTAGTCTATCAGCTTACATGCATCATTGATCGGGATCTCGTCATAAGGACCGGCCAATGCATCTGAAATATTCTTAGCGTTTTGTCAAGAGACTCGACTCATCAATCACTTACCGGGTGACTTGGTGAATATTACAGGATAGTCGCCCGCGGAAAGCTGCAAACAAATGAGCCGGTTGTCCGGTGAGTAATGAAGATCTATTACCCCAACTTCGCCTATGTGCGTCTTGTAATTGATCACGACACACTGGAAGATAGGTGTTGCTGGTACCGGGCTTAGAACCTGGCAATTGTTAATTAGTCAGAGACCTTGAACACACTCATTCAGCCTACCTCTTGGATGGTCTCGACCCTTCCATCTCAGCTAAGGGGTTTTCCATCTAGTATTGATGTTGCCCCATATACGGGAACACCAAGTCCAATCAGGTTGTCACGTGTAGCGTCTATTTCGGTTCCGAGCTCGCCATAGAACGTATCTCCGCTTGACGACTTGAATCGTATTAGGCACTGGAAGTTGGGACTCATTGCTGGTAGTACCGAGAATTTCTTAGAAGCAGCTATATGCTTTCGGTATTCGCAGGGTTACGTCGGATTTGTACTCTGGACCTAAAGCTCGATTGCCTGTTTAGTTCAGGTTCATGCGCCGAGCTTATGCATCCGATTCCGGATCTACATGGAGAACAGATACCTCTCCGGGAACAATGTGGGAACAAGGCAGTGCGGAGCCATCTTTTGCTAGTACATCTCTGTTGTCTTTGTGGCTACAAGACTAAATAACAGGTCAAAAATGACGACCTGAATTTGCCTATTTCTACATTTGGAGGGTCAGAAAGACGTTCAGTCGGCATGCTACTTCGTTGGCTGAGTTCGGAGCTAGAAATTCCTGGTTCGGAACGGTGCGGCCGGAAGGCACTGCGCTAGTAGAAATAGCGCTTTGAAAGCAATATCTCGCTAAGGTGCGTCCTTAGATGAACAGAAACCCCCCACTACGAGACTGGTTTAGGGTTCGGGCCTTCGGCTCCTCCATTCAGGTAACATGTAGAGCTGCTCTTATCCAAATCGCTTATACCAATGTCAATTGTAAACGACTTAATTTCCTTGTCATGAAAGCATCTTGTTTAGTTGAGAAAAAAATTGATTTGGATTTTTAGTGGATAGTCTAGGGTACTTCTAAAAGTAAGAATTAAAAAGAATGGGAAAAGAGAGATGGGAAGGAGAAAATGAATGTCTAGCTACAAGTGTGAACGTTGTAATCGAAGACCTATTCTCTAACACCATCATAAGTAATGTCATCAACACACTAAACTATACGTTGTTATAGTAGTATGTATTTAGATGTGAATCGGGTTGCAGCTGATGTTAATAACACCCTATAATGTTAATGTCAGCGAAGATGAAGAACGATATTAGAAAGATTGTATTACCGTCTGCTCAGACTTGTTGCAGCAAACTGACTGCTGAGAGCACATCCTGTTGAGCGGAACAAGGTTGCGGAAAATAGCAACAGTGACATCGTTGCACTGTCCAAGAAGATTCTGCAGGTCGGCAACGTCGGCATCGATAGGAAAAACGGACTTTTTGCTGGTTGCCTTCTCGGCGGTCTCGTTGTTGCAGCAGTAGACTTCGGCGTCGCCACCACACTGGTTTTTGATGGCCTTTGCATCATGGCCGCTGGGGGTGTTCTGAGGGGCAGCAGCGGCGACAGCCACAATAGTGAGGAAGATAACCTTGGCGAGCATCTTGAAAGTTGATGTAATGGGTTGGTATTGGAGGAAAGATGGAAGACTGAAGTTTGTAGTACTGAATCGAGTACGAAAGTGGTCTTGATTGTTGTAGTAGTTGTGATTGATGAGGGGGATGTTGATGATGGAATGTTCGTGTTTAGGTAGCTGGAACTGGAGGTATATATACGTGATTAAGAGAAGCAAGATTCAAATCAGATAGGACACGATCGATCGATGGGATTCAGGAGATTCCAATCAACGGAAGCTACTTCGCAAGGCTACAGTAGAGCAAGAGAGCACTGATCAAACAAAGTAAGTCAAAGGGACATTAACCAAGGGTTCAGGAATGAGCGTGTTGCATGTGTTCTAGAGGCCTGTGCATCATGGAAAACATTTTTTTTGGCTAGCACAATCCGCTAAGCTATGGTCATGATCTCTAGGATTTCCAGAACATACAAGGCATGAAATAAAATCTACGCACACCTCGTTCTGAATTTGTTCACCTCATGTGACACCTAACTAGGTGTTCAAACAAGGGCTAACCGTTGTGCAAGTACAGAAATGCGACCTAGTAAAGGAACGTTTTAATGAGAGTTTAGTTCATTGTCTCTCCGGGGTGGATTGATCGTGATCTATGCTAGCGAGCGCTATGGCTCTTTACTTGCTATTCACGCGCTGCACCTAATTGGGACACACAGGTAAGCCAAAACCCCATTCAGCATCACGCTAAGCTTTGCACGACCTCGCCATAAGAAACTAAAAAAATAAGAAAGCACTCAACAAAGCATTGAACTTGACCGCCAAAACGTCGGTTCCCGTACGGTTTGGGCTGTTGGAATAGATGGTGTGCATCACGGGAATCTGTGCACACCCTGCATGGCCACGGCTGTACCCAGTACGTACCACTTCTCAACAGTATCATTGACACGACTGTGTTACCATCACTCATTCGGAAGTCAAGCGGCTCCTCCTGCAGGGATATTATGCAAGGAATCTACTTTCGAACTGGTCAAATAGAAAAGCACACTTCGATTGCGAAAGTGGTTTATCACTAAGTACGTAGTTTTACGCTCTTTCACCGTTGTCGGGTCTGGTCATGGCTAGTGAGTAGCAATTTGCAGTTCAGCCTTCGCTACGACCATATATGCGCCGCTACTCTGACAATTTTGGGCAACAGTATTACCGTACGACCTACGCAATGCTCTAATGGCTGACGCCTACGAGATTGGATGTATACATGCATTTTCAGCCTGGTCGCCATACCGGTGAATAGGAGCTAGCTTGGTTTCCAGAAAGAAAAAGCAAATGAAAAAAAGCAATGTTCAGAAAAAAGGCAATCAACAGGCGAACAGAACATCGGAAATAAGCATGAGCCGTTAGCGCAATTAATTACCGACTTTGGCCTGGTAGCAAGGTCCTTTGCTTAAGTATCACCATGCAACCTGTACCCAAGATATTGCTGCTATTCCCGATGCTGAAAAGGTGTTTAGAGGCAAAGCTAGCGAACAGAACTGATGAAGACTCATTAAAGACTCCAAAAGTCGTCACCCATCGGCTCCTATGATAGTAGTTGCTGTTTCATCCCATTGGGATCCAGAAGCAAACACCATGACATGGCCATACCCTCCCTCTTGAACCTAGCTAATCTTCTCCAGTTCCGCTCCCCGGAGGGACATTCAAATGCGTAGACTCCAAGCTCCTCGACTAGACCCAAAGAAGTAATAAAATGCAATATAGTAAGAGTACGCATCTATTTGGCCGAGGTAGTGCCCGACAGCTGTCAGCAAATAAGGAAAACCTGATAAGGATTGGAAAGAACCGATACCCGAGATACAAAAAAAAGTAGGTTACATGATAACATGGAGTCAAGCTTCACTTCCGTCGCTTCATATCGACGTAGATTGGCAATCACAATCGTGAAACGGGTCTTCAGTCATTGATCCTGTCACGCATTTGAAGAGAAAGAATAATGGAAACGATTGTGTCTATGAACGATAAGCGGGCCGATGGGTGTCTTGAAACCACATGGACGCAAGTAGAAGGCCGAAGTGTGGCCAGCAGTGCAGCGATACGTGCACAATGAGTTGGCTAAGCAAGCAAAAATGGAGCCTAACGCGCTTACTGTATGTGCATCTAACGATGATCCGACATACAGTGATTTGAACCTGTTGTCGAGTAGGTTGGCAGACCGCTTCGTGCCGTTCACAGTTAGGCGTGAAGAGGTAGTGCGACTGTGGTTTGAGAAGTTGACGTAGGCGGTCTTAGCTATGCTGATTGTGCTCAAGAATGTTGGGCCACTTGTAGTAACTGCTTCACTGCCAGCTCTCTACGCTTACTCAAAGGCTGTGTCTAAGTCGTTCTTAGGTCGGGAAATACCGATATACCCTGGAGGGTGATGTTCAAGCATAGGGCAGTTGCGACGAGCTGGCCAGACAACGTGGGAGCTATCGAGATTAACGCTATAGCCAGCAAGCATGCAGATCCAACTCCTCTATTGCCCCTCGACTTTATCGTAGATCTGATCGTATGTCTTGAGATGATAAGTTCCGCAGAGACAGCAAGTGAATCTCGTGAACTTGATCAGATAGCGGAGCACTGTCCTGACGACCAACAGATATAGGAGAACAGAGTTCTTGTTCCGCTGCAACTGTAGTCTTTGTAACTAGATCTGATCTTATGATTTAGTGAAGGAAAGATGGAGGGATGGCAGAATTGGCTAGCCTGTCACGTGCGCTCATGACTCGCGCAGCCTGATATAGTCCTACCAATGATTGCCCGACCGCGCGTCATTGGCAGCCACGGCTCTGCTTACACTGAGCTGTCGCATGTATGCGCGGAGGACGCCTCACACCTGACTTTGTGAGACACAGCCCACTGTCGCTTGGTTGCCCTAGGGTCACAGCGCGCCAGCTACACGGCAGCTCCTTTCGTCTCTCAACTAACTCATCCTCTAACTACAGCCTGGTGCAATTCATTATGGGTCGATACACCAACATGGACAGTGTAAGTCACCAGCAAGCCCCTCTAACATTCCACTATCACCCCGCAACTGACAACAAGACAGGACGCCGAGCGCCTCCCCTCTGGCTTTGAGCGTATAGGCTATGACGCCGACACGCAAACCTACACCTTTCGCGATGCAGGCGGCATCATGTACGAGTCGGAGCCTGGAAATCGTTACGGCGAATTGCACCGTGTTGATTCGCAATCATCGTCGCAATCATCGCGGTCCGCGTCTATCCACCTGCTCGACAACCGCAATGGGCGGCCCTCGCGCACTTTTGATGAAATGTTCAACGATCATCAAGACGCAATAAGCAAGGACAACAGGGATGCGGTGCGTATAATGCTGCCATTCGCGCTCATAGTACTGGTCTTTTTGATCCTGGTGTTCAAACTGTTGTATATGGGTGATGCTCGGTCACTAACTCCTGCCAAAGAATCACGCGATTGTCATCAAGGCAGTCATGAAGTTCAAATTAAACAAGGAGATACGTGCTGGGCTATTGCCCAAACTAGTCACATCACTGTGGAAGAATTACTAGGGTTGCAGGGCAATGCGCTTGTGGATTGCGATCGGTTGTTGCCAGGCAAGAGCATTTGTGTGCCTGCGTAGAGAGATGGTATCACATCAGATTGTTCTTAACTTATACAGTCTTATCACACTAGGATCAATGAAACACAGAGTCAACACTAGGGTGCCAAAACTGATAGATCTGTACATGTACTACGCTGCATTGAAGTCGAGACGTGTACATGCTATCGCACGTTTGGTAACCGAGACAAATGCGTTTAACATTTGTTTATCGTGGACATAACCACTACAAAGCGTATCCGGCAGCTCATGCAGTCATGCTGACTCTAAGGCGTGACCCATTTCATTATCGAGCTGAGGATAGATGGAACGCCACACTTGTGTCCTAATTAGGCGTCCAGCACAGCCACTGGCACCCTGTATCTCAATATCAGGTAACCTAGCCTCGTTGCCGGTCATCACATCAATCCGACTACTTACATCCACCCGCTCGCTGCTTGTATCTTGTTCATAGCAACGCAAAGAAGGCAACGAGGGATACATTGCAACTTCACCACATTGGACCGTCGTCTCAAGATGCTGCCACCAAAAGGGAAGAACAAAGCAGCTAGCATATGGTCCGTTGACTCGGGCTATGCATCAAATACTCTGGACGAAGAAGATGGTAGTTATGTATTTACCCCAGAGTTGACACATCCCCACCAAGCGATTGCTGACACTACTAGATGGACTTTACCGCGAGTCCCGCAATCAGCAAATCCTCGTCATCCTTGTCGCAGAAAAGCTTCAGCTTGGAATTTGGTGATTTCTTCAAGGTCCATATTGAAGATCAGCTCCGCCTGCAAAAGCCAGATTCTCCATCGGCGCCAGTGACTACCAAGCTTAATGTGTTTACGACAAATATGAGAGCAAGTCACGATCTCCAGTCACAGGCGGCTAGCGTCAATGAAGAGTGCGTTCTATGCGCACTTTGGGATATTACCAATCCTGGGGAAAACCTGAAATGCGACGAATGCAGTCGAAAGCTGACAGCCGTGTTCGGTGCTACGGAAAGATCAGGACTTTTGCAAACTTCAGAAGCCGAACAGGAATCGATGCATATCGCAGCCCAAGTGGAAGAGCTTGGCGCATTACAGCAACATCATCTACCCACCAAAGTTGAGGAAGGGCAACATTCAACATATCGTATCGTGGATCCTATTAGTTACGATCAGACTACCACCTCTTCTTCCTACAGTCCCGATATAGGCACTTCTTACCCTGGATCTCCAAACGTCCCTTGCGAAGCTAAACGCTCTTCCATTCAACGGCCTCCTACAAAACTTGAGTCACATGCTCTGCGGCGCCTGAAATCATGGATAAGAGATAACAGCAGTAATCCGTATCCTGATGCTGATACCAAACGTGCATTGGCTCAAGAGTGTGGAATCACAGAGAAGCAGGTGAATACATGGTTCACGAATGCTAGAGCAAGACAAAGATTTTTACGTCATGCGGAGAGTTCACTTCCACACTCAAAAGTAGAGAAAAGTCTAACAACCCGCCTCTCAAAGGTCAAAGTGTTGCCAATACCTGAAGGCTACCGAACTCTGGAGGAGATCCACCATTCCGATCACGACTACGATCCAAAAACTCCAAAATCATCTAGGCGAGGCAAAAAGAAAGACTACAGTCATTTCAGTACAGTATCTCCAGTTTCCAACTTAACCCTAGCCATGTCTTGTACCCAAGTAAAAGCAAAGACCTCAATGAGAGAAAGTACGCCAAGCATGTGGCAATGCACATTTTGTTATCAGTTTGTAGCGCCAAAGTCCTGGCGTCGTCACGAGGAGACTCAGCATCGACCAAAACGGAAGTGGACCTGCTTACACACTGGCCCGAGCATGATCGTTTCTTCCCATTCCACTTCTTCCACATCCTGCGTTTTCTGCAAGCTTCACAATCCTAGCAAAGACCATCTTCTCCACTCTCACCGTATCGGTGAATGTATTGCCAAGGCCGAAGAAGATAGAACATTCTTGCGACCAGATCACCTCCGGCAGCATGTAAAGAATTTTCACCAGGCATCTCTGACCGATGCTGTAAGAGACTTGTGGAGAACAGACAAAGTGCGCAAAGATGGCCCAGAAAAATGGACCTGCGGGTTTTGTGCTCGTGAAATGACAGCATGGGATGCGAGACAAACCCACATCGCGGCACACTTCAAAGACGGATTGACAATGGCAGACTGGAAATCACGTCCTCAGCCTGAAAATACAATTCACACCAGTAAGAAGCGGCCAATATCAAGTGAAGGACAATCAAATATGTTTTCCAAATTCGCCAGGAACTTGACGGGTCTAAGTGCAGGGCAAGAGGGGCACGACATGTCACAGAGCAGATTGGTATCAACTTTCGAGTACACAACCGAGGACGTGCAGCCAGGAGTACCAGTGGAACCCGATTTGACCTTTGACAACTTTACCACTGCGATATACAATAGTGAGTTCGATTTCGGCAGCGCAAGTATGATGGACTCGTCTGAAGAAGAGAGCGCATCAAAGGATTTTGAGACATTATACCCTGTTGGTGACAACGGTTTGTGGATGAATTATGACGATCTGGGCAGTCTTTCGTGCAAAGACGAGTATGATAGTTTCCTCGATTTTTGGTAGCGATGTATCTGGAGCCTGGCAACATATACAAGCTCATTCAATATGCATGTATACATCCCTGGTCTTTCGGACGCCTAGTCGTGAGAAACTTGCTGTGAGCTGAGACATCACGTTTTCGTCAAAAGACGTAGTACTATTCAGGCGACTGATTGACGAGATGAAGTTGTAAGGTGTTGAAACTGCAGCTACATCGTAGCTGCCAACCTGACGGGTGATGGTGCAGTTAAATATGCGGGATTTGCCGAACACTGGGGCTATAGACGGCGTCGTCGCTTACTACTAGTACGTCCACTCCTAATCCTACAGCCAGCCCCATCGACTTCCCTCAGCTGCCTCTCAAAAGTATCCTCTGCTCAATTTGCCAACACCAATCACGCTGCCCAGCAAGATAAGCAACACTGCAATCATGATCAATACAGACGTAGACAGAAAGGTTGATTTGTGTCCAGCATGCAAAGCGCTTGACGAGAAATTCAGTACGCCACAACATGGACATACGCAGGTCGTGCACTTTCTCAAAAACTCCTTACACCAAGACTGTGTGTCATGCAAGACACTTTCTGATTACTTCTCTTCTGATAAGCTTGTCGTGGCTCTTTTTCACAATGGGCCAGAGGATGACGAAACGCAATCAGCGTCTTCAGAAGAGTTGGTTGAGCCATGTGCTGAGTCGACAAACACGAAACCCTTGAAACACATCCTTATGTGGGACTCGGCTGATGCAACACATGACCATACATTCCTCCCGGCGGAAAGTCATATACCAGGGCCTGGAAAGTATGCGTCAGCGGACCTGATCCAAGCTAAGCAATGGCTCGAGAGTTGTAGATCAAACCATGCTTCTGATGACGCAGGTGGAAGGACATGTACAGTTCAGCCAGTGACCATGAAGACACCGCTGAGAATCATCGACTGCAGCACGTTACGGGTAAGAGAGCTAATGCCTGGCGAGTCTTATGCGTGCTTGAGCTATGTCTGGGGTAACGTAGCTCCTGCAAAAGTTGCATTCGGCTCGCAAATAGACCCTGGAAGTATTTCAAAGACCACTTCGGATGCCATATATGTGGCTAAGCAGCTAGGGGTCCCCAGACTGTGGGTCGATCAGTAATTAGTCTCCTCTATATCTTATCGACGTTGAGCATCTACTGACGCTGTGTGCTTAAAGATACTGCATCGTACAAAATGAATCCATTGCGAGGAACGAAGCGATCGCATCAATGAATCTGATCTATGGTGGGGCAGAAGTTACTATTGCAGCAGCATCTGGCATAGATGCTTCACATGGTCTACCCGGTGTTCTGGGAACAGATCGATCAGACCTGATACACGGATCTGTCACTTTAGGGAGCCGACAATTTGTCGAAGAGCCCGTCCAGAAACAGCTGGAGCAATCGCATTGGAACAGCCGAGGCTGGTAATTGATCATTAAACGTTCCTCTGTGAAGCAAACACTGATTTTGAAATAGGACCTTCCAGGAAGCTGTGTTGTCGGTGCGTCTCCTCGTGTTCACTGATAGACAAATGTATTTCCAATGCAACAAAGCTCATCATCTCGAGCACTACAGAATCGAAGACCCATTAAGCGGACAACGCATATTTCTCTTTACAGGAACAGATCTTCAGCCTCTAGCAACCTTCCCACTCCTAACAGAGTACTTTCCCAAGCAACTTTCATTTGCCAAGGACAGTCTCAAGGCTATAGAGGGAATTTTGGAAGCCTGCGGTAAAGATGCATCGGGGCCATATCAATGTCGACACTTTTACGGCATTCCTTTGCCTTATTTTACGGATGGCATCACGGGAGAGATATCCTTCTCCGCGCAGGGTCTGGTTTGGTGGACCTCGCGTCAGAGCACGGAAACTGAAGTGAAAGAAACCCTCGCTCCTGATGAGTCTGGACTACCTTCGTGGACTTGGGCATCGCAAAAGTCGAGATCTAGATCTTCTATCATGACCCTAGATTTCTGCAACCTTGACGCATCATGGTTAAATTTTCAAGACCTGAGGCTCCACATTACGAACAGACATGGGGAAACGGTTGACGTTTTCGATTTTGTCACGTCATCTCTTCCGGAACATTATTCAAACTACTTCCCTTGGATTGATGTCACTTCATGGATCGTTCAGAGTCAGATCACTACGTCGGATCTGGGATATTCCAAGACCGTCTTTGGTGGCATGGGAAATTCAAGCTTCAAATTTGACGAAGGCGTTCCACAGAATGATGAGACAATTACGGCGATATTCATAGGTACCGGTGAAGCCTGGTCTGACAGCACAGACTCAGGTAATGGTCTTGTCTTCCTTCTTATACGTCCGACTACGCCGAATACATTTTCTCGCGTCGGATTATGGTATCTGTATGAGGAGGCCAAGGTCCTTTCCCTCGAAGAGGTAATGGCAGATCCAGAGCCTACACTTCTCAAAAGATTTACGGAGGATCCGGAGAGATATCTGAAATCATGTTGGCTAAGCCACGGCGTTGTGGTAGAGAAAAGGACGGTGAGACTAGTTTAAATAGACGTCGAGATATCCATATACATCCAGAAGTGAGAAGATCTGGATCCAGTACCATATCCGTTCCAAGTCGATGGTAACTAGGAAAAGTTCTCGACAAGCATGCTTTTCAAATATGTCAACACGGGTTAAAAGGAGTTTGGGATACGGCTAAACAGTACACAGGCTTCAGTGTTCCTGAACATCGTTGCCGTGGCTTCAAGATCTACCGGATATTTCTTCTACCATATCAAGCACATATATCATACATGGCACAAAGCCTCCATAGCGTCTTGATTGGGGTCTTCCAAATGTACATAATGATGTAGACAAAAACGTCAGCCAATATACTAATTTGCTGAACACGGTATCCGTTGAGCATGAGCTATCCCCGCAAAAGCGAGTACCCCCACGAAAGAGTGGGATGGCTGCTCAAGATTTTCCGTCCATGCATGCACATGCAAGAACATGATCGTCACCGGGTGAGGCCAACCAGTTCACGGCCTATTCAACAAATCAGAAGCACGAGGTGACCTCCCGTGCTGCATTGACGGGACCAGTATCGTGGGTCAGCGATGCAGACTCACAAGTCGGGCACAATACTACCCCTCACTGCCCCGCGTATGCATGTGCAATTGGGCAATTTGCGTGTCACCAAGCTCAACAAAAAATCACCAAGAGTGTATAAAAGGATGAAAATATTGCTGCAGAGACTTTCTCTGACCTCAGCTTGAGCATACCTTTTCTGACCATCCATAATCACGACACCATTTTATTGGTACGATGCCGCCATCGAACCAGCAATGCGAAGCCCCTGGGGTCTCGCTCCTCGCACCTTAGGATATTCTCTCGGTCAAGTAAAACAGATGCCTATACTGTGCATCATCAGGTACCCATCTCAATCCATCAGAAGCAAAGCATGGCGGGTGTTCAAGCCATTAGTGATCGGTACGTCGTATCGATCACTGATGGCTTGTTCTGAGATTATACCGTTTAAACTTGATCTGGATAATTCCAGCGCGAAGGACTGTTGCTGCTTCATGATGTCCCGTTTCCCACTGTTGTGTTGGGATTGCTGACTAGCGTAGAAGAACATTGCATCGGTAACCCAAAGTCAAGATGTCGACGGATAAGATTACCTTCTTGACCAACTGGTGCGCTAAATGTTCAGCTTTTACTATGAGAGAACAGGATACTGAAGAGTAGGTCAGGCACGCTACGCCATACCATGCGCCTGTGTACCTTGCTCAGAGCAAGGGATACTTCAAAGACGAAGGCGTCAAAGTCGCTCTCCTTGAGCCCAACGATCCAAGCGTACGATTAACACCACATACCTTATTCTTCATCAAATACTCAACATAAAAACCAGGATGTCACCGAAATCATCGGATCAGGAAAAGTCGATCTAGGTTTCAAAGCCATGATCCACACGCTCGCCGCCGCCGCACGAGGCTTCCCCGTCCAATCCATCGGCTCTCTGCTCAACGAACCCTTCACCGGAGTAGTCTACTTGACATCCTCTGGCATAACCAGCGACTTCAGCACGCTCAAGGGCAAGAAGATCGGCTACGTAGGCGAATTCGGTAAAATCCAACTCGACGAGCTGACAGCCCACTACGGCATGTCGCCCAGCGACTACCAAGCTGTGCGCGTGGGCATGAACGTGACACGGTCCATCATCACGGGCGAAATTGACGCAGGCATCGGTCTCGAAAATGTGCAAATGGTGGAGTTGGAAGAGTGGCTTGTATCGCAGAACCGAGCCCGCGATGAAGTCCAGATGCTGCGTATCGACGAGCTGGCTCAGCTGGGCTGCTGCTGCTTCTGCTCCATCTTGTACATTGGCAACAATGCTTTTATCGAGCGCCACCCCGATGCCGTCCGCGCTTTTCTCCGCGCATGCAAGCGCGCAACGGACTTTGTGCTTGCGCAGCCAGAGCAAGCGTGGGCTGAGTTCTGTGCAGCAAAGACGGCCATGGATACGCCGACGAACCGCAAGATTTTCGAGCGCAGCTTTGCGTACTTTAGCCCGGACTTGCAGAATGTGCAGCGTGATTGGGACAAGGTTACGCGATATGGGAAGAGGCTTGGTGTGCTTGATGAGGCGTTTACGCCAAACTATACGAATGAGTATCTGGCTTGGGGACTGCAGGATGAGGCTGAGGATCCCGTGGGCGACCAGAAGAAGATGGTTGAGCTGCAGGAGGGTGTCAAGCAGAATGGCGGGTTCAAGCGTCTGGAGAGTATTGCTGGCAAGACGGTAGTTGGGGCTGCAGCTCCGGCTTCTGCCTGAGCAAATAAGTTGGCATTAGTCCATCTGTGTTGATCTGGCGCTTCACTCTTTTGCGTCTTTAACGGTCAGCGAGAAGACCAATGATGGTACTGCAAATTAGTCGGTCGTTGCGAAAATAGTCACTCGTTTGCTTTGACTCCTTCTCACAAACTGCCATAGTTTTACAGCATCAGAATTGTGACCCTGCTACGCTTCCACTTACCTGATAGAGTCAACCCGTTACCATCAAATCATGCACAGCAAGAACACGGTGTGAGAAGATAGCAGGCAGAGATTAAGTGAAGAGATAAGACTTCAGTATTGCATCTCATCTTATATGTCCTTGGACGAGGAGTCTAGAGGACGTCCATCTAGCACTTCTGGCTGTGCCGCCTCCGGCATGTCCGACGGCGGAGTTGATGTGGTATCCTCTCCTCCATACTGCACTTCTACTGCAGAGGCATTGTCCGCTGAGACCTCATCTTTCACACGGCTCGCCTCCCCTATCACTGTGTCCTCCGGTGCACTGGGATACTCCGCAATGCGTTCTTGCAAATCCTTCTTTATCATCTCCTCCCCTACATCGCCCGCTTCGTTGGAAGCTTCGCCCAAAATTCCCGATCTTCTCATTTTTCGTGCACTGGCAGGATACCTCGGGCGCGCCTGCCTAGACACGGGCGACGTCTGCGCGCTCGCATCTGTTATCAAATCGGCGATATCATAGCATCTCTTGACAAATGCCTTGACAGTTGCCTCGTCGCGTAATTGAATGTCACCATGGCCGTCGTAATACGCCATCAGTTCGCCACCCTTTGCGTTTAGTTTGCTCGATTGATTGGCGCTGAAGGCGATGTTTTGACCCAATAGTGTGCCTGAGACAGCCTGTCGGAACTCGACACCAGAAAAGTGATATTTAATCTTAGCCATGCCATTTTCTTCAATCGAGCAGCCAGGTATGGTCCACCTGGGAACGTCAATGCTAAGCGGCGGCGCGGTAATACGTCCGCCACTCGAAATACTTTTTGCGGCGGCGATAACCCATTTATCTAGGTTGGCATCATTGTGATCTTTGGTCATTCTCAAACTCCCGTACTGGTAGAACTGAAGGTCGGCCGCTTTATTGGGAAGCGACACGGTATGCATATGCTGCCAAAACCTCATGCTTACTCTGCGGAAATAGGCTCTGGCACCGTGGCGATCTGTACCCATCTTGATTTGAAGTGTGGGAAACAATTGGCTGGAATCAAAGCCGTCCTGCTCGGGATCGGGTCGGAAGTGGTAGTATAGAGTCGGAACCTGCAGGCGCGTAGTAAGGGAGATATCTGATGATGTAAAAAGAGAAGAAAGCCCTGGGAAAGTAGACACAAAATGGGGTTGGGAAAATTGTTTGAGTGTATTGGCCTCAGCTTTGGTGGCATTTGCATGTTCCAGAGGCACCAAGGATTGACCAAATTTGACATAGAGCTTTCGTAGCGGTTCAGAAACCCAGCTGCCTAGCTCTTCCATGGGAGGAAATTCGTCGGAAGCAGACCGAAGAATAGTGGCTGCAGTCCTATCTACTAGACCTTGAACTGTTGCCTTGGATGACTTGGGGGCCTCGACTGACTCTTCTGTACCTTCTACAGATTCAGGCCCAGAGATTCGTGGGAGAGGCACTGATAAGCGTCCAAGCGGAGTATTACGAGTCTTGTAGCTCAATAGACTTTCATCCACATACACGGGTGCTGGGTAAATTGAAGTTGCTGCAGAGCCCAGGTTCAGCATATCCGAAGTGCGGGTGATGCCGTCCCTGAAAGGCAGAAAGTTGATCAAAGATCGCTTTGCTTCTTCGATAGATGCATTGTTGAATCCCCTGATTGTAAACTGCTCAGAATTAGCGAGTGTAGGCACCAATGTCAAGGGGCGACTTGCCAAGTTCCTTGTAGTACCCGCTATACTTGTCTTGGTGAGTGCTGAAATGACATCCCGATCTTTTTGTGAAAAGAGCGTGGTCATATCTAGAGGTTGGTCCCGTGGTATCATATTGGGGTCCAGCAGACGCATGTAATTTTTGAGGTTCATCCGTTTGACCTCTGTACGTTGCAAAGCCTCTTCCACGTCATTGGCAGCGTACTCTGCTGTACTTTTGTCGGCGGTGATGCGAAGAATGTCATGCTGCTTGTAGATTTGGAATTTGACCTTTCTGATTAGTGCGATTTCATCAAGTACATTGTGTTCTTCAACAAGGGTTAGTGGGTATTGTGATGGTGATACAAGCTGGAAACTGACCTCCAACAGTAAGCAGTGTCATCTGCCACGGCTTCAGGAAGAGTTCGAGCTCGCCAGGCTTCTCGATTTCTTCAAGAAGCACGAGATTCCACTGGTCGCGGAGGATGCGGTCTACAAGCAGCTGCTTGCTGACATTCTTGCGCCATCCCATAATTTTGACATGGCGGTCGACTCCAGGCAAACGTTGTGTGATGCTTGTAGTGCCTGGTTGCCACTCAGAGCGCTCCACCGGAAGCTTGGGATCATCCTCGTCTCGCTTCAGGCTATCGATGACACCTTGGTTGACCTGCCCCCGCTTGATGTTTTTTGCAACCGAGTAGAAAGTCATCAACTGTTGCTGGGTGAAGCCGTCCATGAGGAGATTTTTCAACTTGAGAAACGTAGTCTGTTTGACATAGTGCGGCTCGTTAGGATCGCCATGTTGCGTTGGACGCAGACTGCCAATTTGTTGATAGATTTCCTCGGGCGTGACTGCCTTGCCCTCTTGTTGCAGCGAGGCAAAGATGTCGGGAACTTGGACGGGATCAGAAGACTCAATGGTTTCGGGCTCCTCGTCGCCTTTCTCCGCTAGTACATCTCCGAGTTCTCTGAGCACCAGGATATCGGCTTGGTCGCCTAGCTGCTTGATTCCTCCCAGGCTTGTTGTGGTCTCTTTGATAATCTTGCCCTTTCTCCTCCGGACCCGGTTTAGCGGCTCGACTACTTTAGTAATCTTGAACTTCGGACTGTCCAACTCGGAGACGGCGTCCTTTGTTTCTGCGCCATCGTCATGCAGGCGAGCAGAGGCAGAAAAGGTGGCGCGAGGGATGCGGCGGGGCACGGCGGGGAGTCGTCGACGGGCGATTTGCGCTTCACAGCGGAGGCATACAAATGCACTGGGAGCACGGGGTGCAAGCATGAAGGACGACGAGGCAAGGCTGAGGTTCAATGCTTGTTGCAGCGTGTGGTGCGCAAAGTGAAATGCGTCCATCAACTTTGGCCACCGCCTAATAATTCTGCCGTCGCGCCTTCACGTGCAAGGCGCGTCGTCCTAGCTTTGTGCTAATAATGCTTCTTTTCACATGTCCGTCGTTGCAAAGGCAAAAAGATTGAAGAGAGAAAAAAGATGCGCAATTACAAAAGTCTACTGTTTTCTACAATGGAACATCACGTCGGCCGATGCCAGCTGACCAGGTCTTCTCGCAGATCAAACTCATTGACCTCTTGGACCGGCCGCTGTCGTTGCCGCGCCGCCTCGGCCTTCGCCTTCAGGTGCGATGCCCGCTGTTCCAAGCTTTCCCGGCCTCGCACGTTTGGCGAGCGGAGCGGTTTCATGTCCCCGGGTCGCAGCGTCTCATGCGACTTGCGACTGATGCTGCTGCCATGCATGTGCCTCGATCCGTTTTCACTTACAGAGCTGCTGCCGTCACCTGCGAAGCGCAACGATTGCTGAGCCCGTGTTTGCTGCGAGTAGGACTTGTCGCCCCAGCCGTCTCCGCCAGCAAAGATGTCCTCTATGCATTCGTCCGCCTTCAGCTCGCCGGGCTGAGCCGACCAGTATGCGGCTAGGGTGCGCCTGTACATATCCTGTAGCTCACCAGCTTCGCGCGACTTGTTCGCTGACGAGTGTGTGGCTGTGAAAGTCAGCCGCGTTTGTCAGGGAAGAAAAAGAAAAGGTAGGCTTGCCTCCTTGATCTTCGAGCTCGGTCTGTTCACCGGCCATGATACCCGCAATGCCGCTGAAGACCTGGGCAGTCTTGAGTGCAGGCGCGATGTAGTTCTTGTCTCCCTCGATCTGTTTCATGTATATCCCAATCTTGAGCGTGCTGTTGATTTTGCTGTCTTGCATGAGGTATCGCCGTGTGACGCCCGGCTCCTCGCCCGCCACAGTGCCCATCTCGCTCTGTTCCACGTACTCTGCCAGGTTGAGCTTGACAGTGCCCAGAGTCATCCTCTCGCCTCTGCCTGTCCCGTACTCTTGGATAACTTCAAACTCGACGTAGCACTCCTGCAACATGCCGTTCTTGTCCACGGTAAGCCGGACGGGGAGTGTAGCCTCATAGTCGTAGGCAACTTTATGGTCCTTTACATAGCAGCTCTCTGTACGACCGCGGTGTTCGGCGGCTGTCGAGTGCAAAAGGTGCCATTTCACAAAAGATGTACCGGATACGAGGGGAACGTTGTTGAGGTCGATGATCTGCTGTTGTCAGGACACGGTCATAGGGGGCATGATGGGCAGCGCGCACTCTCAGGTGCAGGTCAAACTTTGGCTGTGCAATTTGTCAGCCCGTGTAACATGCGTATGTATGCTTGCGCATCTTAGTAACAAGCTTTGCCTTACTCGACGGTTCTTTGGTACTGGGATCGTGAGTGTGTGAGCCGCAAATGCGACGGTGCGGCGCATAGCCATTGCTCACCAAACGCTTGCATATTGAAGAGAAGGGAAGAAACCGGACAAAGCCACGTTCGGAGAAGCTGTAAGAAGGGTCCTAGTGGTATCGTGCGTGTGACAGGGTTCTTTTGTCGTCGAGTAGCAGGAGTGATGGATGGCCTTGGAACCGCCAAAGCATCAATGGGTTTCCGGTTTCAGCTTTCTCCGTGCCCTAACTCCGTGCCCCCATGCCTGACCTAACCTGACCAGAGCCCCTCGACCCTCGCTGTCCCTTCACTGCAGACGACCAAATCAGACGACCATGGCACCAGACCCAGATGCCATCGCCCGCTGCGTCCTCGACACCTTTGACAGCCTGCCCGACAAAAGAAAACCCCGACCCCGCAGCCACGGCGCACGAGAATGGGTGCCCCTCGCCGGAATCGTCTTATCTAAAGGTAATCGCTCACTGGTATGCCTACGCCGCTATGCTTGCTTATGCCCATGAACTAGCGAAGGCGACAGGCTAAAGTGTGTATCTTTGGGGTAAGCAATATTCCTTTCAATATAGTTTCTTGCGCCATTTGTGAGCCATGCCGCCGCGACGTAGGTAAAATGGGGTATCGTCGACTCGTAAGCGACATGCATCAAGTAGTCTACTTACCCGAGCAGGCTATTCCCATCAGTGGCTCAGCCCCGCGTTCAGGTGCTGCGGGATTGTTAGAAGAACCATATACGATTAATACATTGGGCCATGGGTCAAATCAGCCCCATCTCGCAGTGTCCAAGAAGCAAAATCTGGCTGTGTAATGACATGCTGACGCTCGTAGAACGGGCATGAAATGTCTTCCATCAAACAAACTCCCACTGGCAAAAGGCAACATCCTACACGAATGGCACGCTGAAGTCATTGCCATCCGGGCCTTCAACCGCTACCTTCTAGACGAATGTGTGCGCATCTCATCGCCGCCCTATGCAGCGTCGGATTTCGTCCAATCCCGATATCCCCGAGACCAGACGCCACAGCTATTTACTATCCCCGACGATGTATCAATCCACATGTATTGTTCCGAAGCACCCTGCGGTGACGCAAGCATGGAGCTCACCATGGCCGCGCAAGAAGATGCCACGCCATGGACAAGCCCACCCCCGACCCTCCAGGAAGCTACTGCAGTATCGCCTCCACAGTCACCCAGCACACCAGGACAAACGATTGGTGACTCGGCAGAACACATCGAACTCAGCGCCCTACGAGGCCGCTCAAACTTCTCCCATCTCGGTGTCGTCCGCGCCAAACCTTCCCGACCAGATGCACCCCCTACTCTAAGTAAATCCTGCACCGACAAGCTCACCCTCAAGCAATCACTCTCCCTCCTCTCCTCCACCACTTCTCTCCTCATCACGCCACAAAACGCCTACATCGCCACGCTGGTCCTCCCTGCCTCACAATACGTGCCTCAAGCATGCGAGCGCGCTTTTTCTCCCACTGGCCGCCTCAAAAACTTGCCTTGCTCGACGACACGTGAATGGGGCGGAGGATACACGTTCCGCCCATTTACAGTAAAGCCTACCACAATGGAGTTTATGTGGTCGAGACGTGCGCTAGCTGTAGGAGAAGACGCGGTATCAAGCAACCTCTCAGCAGTCTGGACACCGTACTGGCAGGAGACGCTCATCGGCGGTGTGTTACAGGGGCGAAAGCAGCTGGATCCCCGAGGCGCGAGTCGGATTTGCAGAAGAGGGTTGTGGATGGAAAGTATACGGGTAGCAGGGATACTAGGCGGAGCAGCTGCAACGGTGCTCGGCGCGAAGAGGAAATATGCCGAGATGAAGAGTGACACTGTGCTGGCGGAAAGAAGAAGAGTAAAAAGCGATATGCAGGCTGCGTTGAAAGGGTGGCCGAAAAACACGGGCGACGACGAGTGGACTCTAGACCAGTAGAAATCCCCATTGACCCGTTTCCAAACTTGAATCTTATTTCACATCTACAATCCCATCTCGTCCCTCGGCAAATACCCCCCAACCTCCCGTCCTCCCTCCCCATCTATCCCCCACCACCTCCAGCACCCCGACCATCTCCACCCGTCTCTTCCTCGCCTTATCAATCTTCTCATCATAGTAAATCCGCGCATCAACTTTCCGACGAGGTATCCGACTGATTAGTACCCGTATATCGCTGTACAGCCCCATCAGTCCATTTAAGCCCGGCATTCCCGCTCCTATTTTATTACTCGAGAAAATAGAAGGTTGCGGTATTGCCTCTGCTTGATCTGGACCTGTTGCGTGTGCTCGGTGCAAAAGGGCTCCGCGTGTAGGGGATGCAGCCCGGGTGGCGGGAGGAGGCGTGGTGGGGGTTACGAGGAGGGTGTAGAGAGAGTGCGAATGGGTTAGATGGGCAAGGGTGGAGAGGAGGGTGGATGTGAGGGATGTTGCTGTTTATGAAAGTTTTCGGGTCAGTTTTCGGTGTTTGTATCGTGGTGGGGGAGTGAAGGGAAGACAGACCTTTGTTCATGTCGGTCTTGGATAAGGGACCGAAGACGTGGGCGAGATTATCGATTAAGATGAATTTTAGAGTACTCGATTTACTCTTCTTGGATTGCTCTGGTGTGTCTGCGTGGCCTGGTTCTGGCACTGATACCGCATCCGTATCTCTCCCTTGCGATGCCAAACCGTGCTTGGCCTTGATCTCAAACAGCATTTCCTCTTCCTCATCCTCATCTTCGTCCTCGCTATCTGGCACAAACGTCCTCTTCGAAGCTTCCTTCCTCTCACCCACCCCTACCCGCTCCTCTCCCAACGCCTCCTCTTTCCCTTTTATAACCTTTCCACTCCCTCCCCCCTCAAGCCCCTCCCTCACCTCCCCAACCGCCTCCACCACCCCCTCAAAATCAAACACGCGCATAATCTTCACCCGATCCAGCACCTTCGCCGCCACATCTTCCGCCTTCGAATCCGACTCTGCACCAACGGCTTCGCAAAGGGCGGATAGTATATCCTGGGGTTGATGTGATAACCGCGCAATAAGCAGAGTGTATAATCTCAGGACGTCGAAGTTGCCTGTTGTATCCAGCACCGCGGCTGTGGAGTCTGGGTTTTGTAAGAGAGAGGTGACGAGTAGTGTTGTGTAAACCTAAGCAGAAAAACTATATATTAGTTTCACTCTTCCCTCTGAATATATTTTGTTCCACCACTCGACTTTGTTTTTTTTTTCTTCCGCAAGTTAGGATTTTGATCTTTTTCTGTTTCTCTTCTCTTCTGTAATTAACCTACCTCTCTAACGCCTGCACCTGCTTCACCACTAATTTCGACTACCCGTCCACTTTCCAATCCACCGAATAATGCTTCATCTACACTCTTGGCTCCAGTTCCTATCAAATGCTCTTTCTTCTCCTTGCGGTCTTTGATAGCAGAGTTGTACACGCGGTCGATCAAGTCGTCTAGGTCGTCGTCGTCGATTAGGGAAGATGCGAGGATGGGATCTGCTGGTGGCACAGCGTCGTCCCCTCTAGTTGGAAAGGTGTGAGATATGGTTTCCATGTTTTCATATCTGATATAGTTTGGTGTGAATTGGATGGACAGAGATCAGGGTAAGCGTGAAGGTAATGCTTGGGGGGTCCTGTCGGAATAGTTCCGAGTACATGGCGCTAGTGGGTGTGCACGGATGGAAGGCGCGACCGGTCTATGAGTAGGGCCAGCCTTGACGTGTGCCTCACGTCAGGTATAAGGGTACACAGAGGAAGTTGAGGTTGAAAGACACCAACAGCTAGTATCTGCTACTTTTAACGATCGTAGCTCAAGTAAGCTTTGGTTTGAGATGGTCACCTTGGATTGCACACGACCTATAGTCATATTGCGCCACTTCGATTCATGTGCATACATCGTGCAGCAATTCAATATAAAATGACCCAGGGACGCGGAACTTTCAACCAAGACAGAGAGTTCATCACGGCAAAAGAAGGAACAGGTTGCGTCAATAGTCATGTTATGCTATTGTTCCTATATTTACTATTCGTTCTGCTTCTCCCATACGTATGCATTCAAATCAAATATTGAAATTCAGTATAGCGATCGCTCGGGTCGGACATGAATGTTCAAACATTCCGTGTCATGGACAGGGCGTGAGTCGAATGGGGTGGTCTTGTCGCATGGTAGTAGAATTAAGATTCGACATTTCTAAACGGTGACTGTTAGTATACGAGTTCAACTTTTGCAGCTCAAATACATAAAATCAACATGGCCAGTCTTTAAACAAAAGCTCGGATATGCAAAAAAACATACATTTGCCGCAGGTGCAAGCACCCTGTGCGCAGCCGCAGTCGGCGCAAGTGCATCCAGAGTTTCCGCAGCCTCCCTTCATTTTGATGAGTCTTTGAAGTGTGGTGGTTTGGTGGTGATGTAAAAGAAGATAGTTGTAGATTGGTACTTTGGTCGTTTGCTGGAGGAAAGAGAAACAGTTGGAGGGGCAGAAGCGGGGCGGCCTTTTATCTGCTCATGCCTGACCGATGACCAACTGTTTTCGGCCACGGCCGCTGTGACGCCAATAGCCGCACTTGCCAGAGTCTCCCGCACCCCAACGTGGCCGACTTGCCGACCTGGTTCATTTAGGCGGGTCGGGCCTCGTGGTCAGCTAATCATTGGAGCAGACGTGCTATGTGGGATGATTGGGGTGGCAAATCCAGAGGCCTGGTGAGGCATTGGCGGCGGCACCAAGGACGGCGGGAGGGTGGGGGCGACCCGCACCATCAACTGGCGTGTGGCTTTGGGTGCATAGAACCTCCAGAACAACATGCTGTAAGCTGACCAAAGAAGTGATGAGGCCGGACTGCCAAGTTGTTGGTTTGGTTGAGAGCATGCAAGAGCGGCAGATGATGGATTGTATTCGGGTCACCCTCCGTCATTGTACTCCGGGGGATCGTCTCTCCTCGGATGGATGTCTTCACCCAGTCTCGATGTGCGCAGCGCGCCATGCCGCGCAAACGGCATAGTGAACATCTTACGTAGGATTTCTGGTGGCAACCTTGGGCATGGACATTATTCCATCGCGATTGGATTAGTTACCATAACCTCTTACGTTGCTTCCAAAGATGACTTTTATACCCCACGCCGACGCTCCGAAGACTGATGCTGGGGCGCCTTGGAAAGAGCCAAACGGAATTTAGACCACCCCTCCTTTGTTACCCATGTTTGCGAGATCGATTACTTCTTCTTCCACTTCAGGCTCTGGCACGCTTTTACCCTTTGTATTCTTGGCGCTCTTTGTGCCACTCTTACTGCCACCAACGCCTCTCTTCCCATCCTTGATGCTACTACTGTCGTCATCATCGTCATCGCCAAACAAAAACCCTTTGCCCTTCATCCGTCGTTTCTCATCAGATGAAAAGGTTGAATGCGCTGTGCCGGAGGCAAAGTTGGAAGACGCCGAGTCTTCGCCCAACATCCATGAAAAGCTTGAAGAAGTGAGGTGTGGCCGTGACCTCGGGGATAGAGACGAGGCGAGCTTCGATGGTGGCGACAGTGTGCTGACAGGAGGGGATGCCGGGCGTGAACTAATTGGAGTAGGGTTGCTTGACACGGCTACCAAAGGTGTGGTGGGACGAGGACTTGCCGTGGATGTAGCGGGCTGGACCTTCGGACTCTGCTCGGATCCTGTTGCTGAGGGAGGGGTTGGAGAAGCGAGAGTTGCTGTAGCCTGTGCAGTTGCAGCCTGCTCTGTTGCTTCATCGACAGGCAACGGTATGGATGAATCTTCCAGGTATACTTGTACAAACTGTACCTTTGCAATGGCAAGACTGAGTGCTTCGATGGCCTCTTTGCCTTTTTCATCATCTGCGTTTGCTCTTTGTGCCTCGTCACGTTCGCGGTGATGCTCCCACAACTCACCGATTGCAGCCTCCAGCATCTTGGCCAGGTTCTTGTTTCTACGATCGAGCTCCTCTATTTTACTCATACTCTTGGCAGAATGTATTCTTTCCAGACTTGGCCGCCCATTGGCAGCGATTGTTGGCAGGCCAGGTTTTCGAAACTCCCTTGCACCGGATCGTGGCGTTGCATTGCCTGAACTCACTCCTGACTGATAGGCTTCGACATTCTTCTTTACTTCCCCTACAGCATCGCGTAGAGCCTTTCCCACACCCCATTGGGATCCACGATCTAATACATTTTTGGCAGCACCTTGAATCAATGCCTCTATGCCAGCACCTTGTTGGCTGACAAAGCTTCTTGGCGACCCCAGGCTATTCCGTGTTCGGCTCGAGGCGAACGATGGTGACGGCGAAGCATCGCGAGGACTTGCTATCGTCTCAGACTCGAAAACGGGGGCTTTCTTTCCGTATCTTGTGATGATCTCTACGCCGCCCTGTCGGGTTAGGTGGTCGCGAAGATACAAAGCGTCCTTGATGAAGGTGTAAGGTGGGTTGGCCGGCTCCGGATATCGGAGCAAAAAAGCAAAAGCTTCGTTGGTATCAGCCTTGATCAACTCCCACCGTATGCGTAGTAACATGGAGATGGAAATCATGTCGACTAGTTCTAGCGTGGAGTCTATCGCAAACAGAGCATCCCACATGTCAAATACGGCGTCAAGAGAGAATTCTCTTCCAAAAAGAAGACGTATCCAGCGTCTGTGCTTGTTAGTTGAGAGGAAATCCAGGCTCGTTGTCGGCTTACAGCAAGAATATCTGAGGAACAATGTCGAGCTTCACGAGATGGCCATGCAATCCTGGATCAACCCTGTACAAGTAGTCATCGAAGATCCTAGAGCTGCGAGCAAGCATTGGAGTCTCTTTGGAAGCTGAGCCAACTTCTGCCGGGGCATAGAACGACTTTGCAGTCTGCATGATGACGGAGAAAAGCATGTGGGTATCGTGCTCAATGTATGCAGAATCGAGCATATCTGCGAGCGTGCGGTCTTTGGCGCCGGATTTCTGGCCCACGAGCTCAATGGCATCTCTTTCCACAACCCATAGCACGGGGGCTAGTATCTCGTGCATGCCCTGCCGATAGCCAATATTTGGGTGCATTTTGCACCAGACAAACAGAATGTCCAGCATCATGTTTTGGGTGGCGGGCTGGCGAAAGTAGACATTGTCTGGCATGCATCGCTCAATGTCTTGAAATATTTCGGCCCGAAGTTCCTCGTCGGCTCGTAGGGCTATCCATGGGGACTTTTAACGCTTAGCACCTGTCAATAAGCGACATGTTTAGGGGGCGTGCGACGGGGCGACGAGACATACGTACCTCTGATAGCTCGCTGAGGGGATCGACGGTAGACTCGAACTCATTTGGGTTCTGAATGGCACGGAGGTAGTGAGTGCGGAGGGATTCGTATGTCTTGCGCGCCTGGCTGAGGTGGGTGGGCCATGACGAACGATCGAGAGTCTTGAAGACAAGAAAGATCTGGTTGTGGGATGAGCAATGGCAGAAGGATGGAGAAAGTGGAGGGAATCGCACTTTCCAGCAGACAGATCGGAGGCCGGCAGTAATTTGGGGGTCCTTGTGGGAAGAGACGTGAATCTTGAGATCGGTCAAGGAATGGAAGTTGTCGAGCAAGCGCCAGTGCTTCCTACATCACGTCAGAGTTTGTCAAGAATAATTGTGTAGAGGACGCATGGGCATACTCGGCTTCGGATACGGAGCGCATGGTGCCAAAGTTTGACAGTGAGGGGGGGGGGTGCGTGAGTACTGTGTCGGCAACCAAGTACCCTGTTGGTAGCTCAGCTCACAAGACTGGGGGGGTGTGCCGCGCCCTCGATGTCTCGCAGCGATCGCGCGACGCGGGGCAGCATTGGCCGAGCCATGATGTCACGTGCAGCCGGCCAATGGGCTCAGCTGTGCAGTAGGCGAGGCGACTACTGGGATCCGTTGTAAGGATGGATGCATGGCATTGGCACCGCACGGCATGGCCGGGCTAAGGATGGGATTGTTTATTGTTTGTTTGGTTCACGCAGGCTGTACATGGACGACGTCACTGCAATGCGAATACGATAGATCAAGCATCAAACGATAGCGCCGTGCGCTATTCTAGGGTACCTGAATACGGTGGCTTGCCGTTGTGACTACACACTAAATATATATTTTTGCTACCAAAGCGATCGAACTATGGAGGATGCAGAGCAAGAGTACCGATCGAGCCGTCGATCTGGCGTCTCAGGACGAGGTGCTAGCAGCCGACGGTCATGGGCTGCAGGCTTCATCCATGGCGCGAACCATGGACGGCTGGGCTAGACACAGGTGTAAGGCCCAAGCGAGAGGAGGATAATGGATAATTCAGCTGGTTTTGGCTATGCTGGGGTCCAGGGCGGCAGAGGGAGAGGGGCGTCGGGAGTATTTGCAGGTCGAGGGAGCCAAAAGGGCCAGCCACACAGCCATGATCGACCGTGTGTGTCTTGGCGGTGTGGCCCCACGTGGGCTCAGTGCGTGTTAGCACCAGGCACAGCGTTGCGCTGCCCTTGGATGACCAGCCTGTCGACGAGGCCGGGAGCGAGAATGTCCTGGCGAAAGCGCTCCTGCTGCAGCAACTCAAGCGCACGGAGCGTTGGGCCGGGATGGCTGCAGGCGCATCATCATCAGTAAGCTGGGTGGCGTCATGGAGCAGTTGTTGGGCGCAGTGTGGTCGAGTGTTACAGGGCTGAAAGGGGGGACCTACTGTAGGAATTTGGCGTACTTGGGTTCCTTGAAGTACTGCAGGTACTGCAGGTACGCCACGAAATCTGGCTTATCGAGCGTTTTCTGCTGGGCCAGGAAGTTGAGATAAACGGGATTGGCGAGGCACTGGACAAACTAGGTTCGTGTTAATGAAGATAAAACAGGGGCTAATGACGTTGCGGACAACGGGAATTGCGGACCTCTAGTTCGAGCTCAAAGCGCGAGTATCCGCCCAAGCCGGGCACGTCTGGCATGGGCATTGCTGCCAGCGTCTGATCTGACAGGTGCGGTGCGATGGGGATGGCAAAGGGGTCGCGATTGAGAGTGTCGAGGGCCAGGCCGGCTGAGGCTGAAAGAAGAATGGATGGATGGATTCAGGGTCCTTTTTTCCCCGCAATGTCCAGGCTGCGCAGAGTCGGCAGCTAATCCACTTGGGTAGATTGAGGCGGGCTAACGAGTCTGCCCTTGCACAAATCAGCTGCGCGAGGGAGGAAGAGCGAGTGCGAGATGGAGGGGGGGTGGGTGGACAGTGATGCCTCCTCGGCCGGGGTGACGGGTGGGCGAGCAGTCTGTGTGTGTGTGAATGCTTGGTAGTATGGAGGACGTAGGTACAGTAGTAAGTACTATGGGACCATGTACGTAGTGGTGTACGTCTACAATACTGCTCAGGAGGGCGTCGGTACAGTAGCAGAGTCAGGCGGACGCAACGCTATGCCCGTCTGGCCAGCGACCCAAAAACCCCACAGGCGCGTGTCCATGTCGCTGCTCTTCTGGCGGGCATCGGCCTCATGGTGGCTTTTTGCTCCCTCTCCTCCTCAGGCTCGTGACCAGCGGCCCAGATGACGGCCGGTCCTACCGAACGCCGCAGCGTCCCAGGTCCCCCAGCTCCCACCTCGCCGCTGGCCGCTCCGCCGCTCCAAAGCTGGCCAGAGAAAGACCTAGGCCGCTCTTGCACTTGCTCCAGTCCAGCCGACGACCAAATAAGTACTTGGTAGCAGGAGTAGCTACTTTTAGCCCTCATCGTGTCTCCTCCCCTTCCGCGCCTTCTTTTTACATAAACCCCATCCGCCTGCCGTCTCTGTCCTCCGCCCCTCTCCCTTTCCTGGCCACCCCCTCCCCCCTCCCCCCTCTCCCTCGCTCGCTCCCTCGCCCATATAACTACACACATACCCCCCCGCGGCCTCCTGCGCTGCCTGCACCACCACGGCCGTCGCCTGGGCACTCGACATCACTAGCCGTTGCATAGACTACTAACGGGCCTTCAAACACAAGCCTATCTGCATTCGCCCCGCCCACCTGCACCCACCGCCGCCAGCCAGCCAGCCAACGGGGCCCGTTCTATCCTCAGCGCGAAACACTGCAGCATTGGTATCGCCAGTCTTAAATTACGCCCCCCTTTTTGCTTCTGCTGCCCTACCCAGCAACAGAGGCCGCTGCACCACGACACGCTTACCCGCACTGCGCGTCACCAGCCAACAGTCGCACAGCGCTCGCCTGCCGCCTCCTGCAACGCCAGTGTTTGATTGGGCCGCACAGCAGGGTTGTCGACAACAGGACGGCATTATGTTTGCAGAGCCGTCAATGCCAGGTATTACCCCCCTCCCCCTTCGATCGCCCGTTTCACCCTCTTCTTGGGCCCTCCGCTCCAATTTGCTCCCAAGCTCATCACCCCTTCTTATCTACAGAACGCCGGCCCTCGCCAGGCCTGCAGCTCAACCTTTCCTCAAACAACCCCTTCCGCAGAGCTGCCTCGCCCGGTTATCCCTCTCCCGCATTTCCTTCTCCCGCAAGTGCCACCAACCGCTCCAGCTCCGGCAGCAGACCAATGTCGCGAAATCCCTTTATCTCGACCTTCGAGGCCGAGTTTAACAAGGAAGCTTCGCGCGACCTTATCGACATGTCTGCAAACATGAAGGAATCGCCCAAGAAACCCACCTTTGGCTCGGCCACCGAGGACATCTTTGTACGTTTTCCTTGCGCTCTGCACCACAATTTACCCGTCAACCCGGCGGCTACGTGCACTTTGTTGCTGCAACAGCTGTCCGCTCAAAATCCATCCCTCCTTCCTACATGCATCACGAGATGCTTCAAACGCTTTTTGCTGGCCACTTTACTGACCATCACATCCCCACATACAGAAGAGCCTATCCATCGATGACAGCGACAAGAAGCCAGCTCCTCCCTCACGCCCAGCCCCTAACCGAAGCGGTACCGATCCCCGTGCAGCCCACCGCCCATCTCGATCTGATGAGGAGAGGCGGGCACGGGACGGTCCCCGTGGCCCTCCTCGACCACGTGGTCCTCCAGGCTCGTCGCGTCCTCCCCACCCAAACAGCCCTGAACGCCGTGAGACGACTCGGCGCCCCCGACGTAACTCGGAGTCCTCGATAATCGACCGAGGCTCTTTGGACCCTCGCGACGACCGCAGGCGCAGGGAGCGCCGCAAGGAGCATGAGAGTTCCAAGGATGCAAAGGATCCTAAGACGGGCAAGCGCGTCCGCAAACCCCAAGGGCTTGATTTGATCGACAAGCTCGACGTCACCGGCATCTACGGACCTAGCATGATTCACCATGACGGCCCTTACGACGCCGTACAGCCACACCGAAACCGGAAGAAGGACACGCGCGCGCCAATGGAGGCTTTCCCGGTCGGATCCGCCAATAACACGCTAGGGGGTGCTGGACCGTTGAACAACAAGATCGATTTGGACAGGATCCACGGCCGAGGCGCCGAGGGTTTCGAAGACTTCAGTACCGCCGAATCCGAGTGGAAGAAGCCTGTAACTACAGAGTACAGCGCCAAGAGCCGAGACGACATCGTCCACGGTGAGCAGAGCAACGGTCTTGGAACCTCGACATTCCTTGAAGGTGCTCCAGCATCTCGCAAGGCCATCCAAGAGGACAGCGATGCTCAGAGGCAAAAGCAGCTTGCTGAGAACGGCCTTGGCCGCAAGAAGTCGATTGCCCAGCGATTCCGCGGTATCTCGCAGCCCCGACGTTATGGAGACAATCCTCGCATCACTTCACCCGAAGCGCGTTACGGAGCCGCGACTAGCCCAAACGGCCACAATGGGTCCTACAGCACCGGGTCCCTCTCCCAGACCAAGGCTAATGAAAAGAACCCCTTCTTTAGTGACGACTACGACAGGGCCTACGATGCCAAGGGAGCGTCCATTAGGACCGGTGACGCCGATGGAAGGATGGGAGCTTCACCACCTCGTGGTGCCGCTTTGCAACGATCCATTACTACTGACAGCGCCTCATCCCCTACTGCCGAAACCAAGCCACCTGGTGGTGGTTTCCTCAACCGCGTCAAGTCTCTCAAGGGTGGACGCCGCCGCCCAGCTTGAGCCGGTCATGGACACGGTTGAATCATCTCATTTGCTGCCTTTTGAGGTCATTTGTGGCACCTTGGAATTTCATACTAGGATAACCACCACAGCGCCGCAGCTATGCTCCAGTACGATATGGCGCTTGTTCATTCTATTGGCACACACTTCCGTTCAACGATTGAACCTTTTTTCTTTTCTACTGGCGTTGGCGTAATTGGGACATTGCCAAACCACGAGCTCTGGATACCACTCATGTGTAGTAGAATAAGGCCACTTTGGGAATATTTTAACGGATAGCCTTGGTTGCCTCTTTTTCCTTCTTTCATTATTGGACCAAACAAACGCTTAACGCGCCTTTTCTAATACAACGGACGTCTGGGACAAATTTGTATGGCATATTCAGACTACCAGGTTGCAATTGCGGTAATAGTGGTAGCAGCAACAACAGTCTAGGGGAGAAACGCGAGGCGTAGGGTGATTATGTAGCTCATATCAAAAATGCATTGGGAATACAATTGTCCGCCTTTATAATTTATGCTGTAAACCATTTAGCATTGTGAATGTGTATTGCGTGTGTGTAAATAAACGAATCACTTGATTATTTGCACAAGCAGTAAGAGAATATGTTATCATGCACAAATGAACAATTCCAATTCCAGCCTCGAAACTCCCCAACCCCCCAACCCCTTCAACCCCACACAAGCAAATTATCCAAAGTCACGCGTTCTTCTGATCAACCTGATGTTCAGGGGCAGCGCAATGGGGTGGGGTCACATACGTACGTACATCCCTATCCCCATTCATTTTTTTATGCACGAAATCCGGGAACATCGTTCAACCCTTTCAACCTTTAATCCCCCTTCTCACCTATCCCCCCCCCTCTCCGCAATCCAACAGAGAGAAAAAAAAAATTCCAACGAAACCCCCATCTCAACTTTTTTTTTTCCGTACCGGGGCTCCTACGCCGCGAAATGTTGATGAAAAAGCTACTGTTACCTCGCTAGAGTAGTTTAGCTCAAGTCATGCATTTGCTCCATGCACGTAGTGGCGACGGCGGACGCGTGGCAGGTAATAGTAGTGGCGTGCATGTACTACGGATGTAGCTTGCATGTGGGTGCGTGGGACTAGTGGTCGTCGCTAGAAAAAAAGGCTGTGTGGTATGGGATGGGAAGGGGGGTTTTGTATATGTATATTTTGCTGTTGTTAAGAATTTAATCGTGATGGGTTTGAGGAACTTTGGATGAGAGAGAATGAAGGGAGGGGGAGGTGTATTTTTTTTGAGGAAAGATTAACAGTCAAGTCATTGTATAGTATACGGATTTGCCATGTTGTTCTTGCAAGTTGCTTTCCCTCCAAATCCCATGTCTGTGGTTGATGGGTTGAGCGATAACCTTGCATGGCGCTTGTTGACTTTCCCATGTTTTTTTCTTTTTTTTCTTCTCCTCCCTCATTAGGATTTTTGAGGGCCATTTGCGACGTCATTGTTGGATCATTGATGTTTGAGGAAGAACTACATGTTTCACACCTACGTATGTATGTGACTTGGCGGACTCAGCAAGACATGCGGTTTTCTTGGATCAGATTTCTTTGTTTTATTGTTCCATGTGCATAGACTGGTAATACCTGTTTCACGGTGTGGTTTTCGGGAATGATTACATGTGTAGAGGCATAACGCTAAGGCGGGTGCATGCATGTCAACAAACTTTGGGTTTCGCCAAGACGATGTCATCATGTTGATAACAGGACATGAGTGGACATGGGAAATTCAGGTTGGAAGAATATGTTGGTATTACTAGTCGTCATTCGTAACAAGTGGACGTCGCGAGTTAAACGCGAAGGAAGCCACGTGAACTGATTATTTCATCTTTAAGATATGATTCTTGCCATTACTATCGCGAGTGTTGCATAAGCTGTAGTAGTCCTTCTGCAGCATCGCCTTGTACCCCAATGCTATTTGAAAGGCTATCTCCCATATATTGCTCCTGCTTCAAACGTTGCAGTCTTTCTCGTGCAGACTCGCCTGCCCTATACTGGTTATTTCGCACCCCCGATTCAGCAGTCATCTGGTAGTGGTCTCCGTGTCGAGCAGGTGACATGAGTTGTTCGGGTGTAGCGGATTTAGGCAACTCAACGGCAGGAGGTGAAGAGGTGATGTCATATTGTTGCAAAGTACGCGACGAATTCATGCCACCGGAAGGCAGTGCAAAATGAACTGGAGCGGGCCCGAGTTTGCTAATGGGTCGAAACGGGTCGAGATTTGCCTTCACAAAGACTGGTCCTTGGTCGCGTTGGGGAGAGGATATGGTAATGTTGGGAACGCGGCAAGTGTCTTGAGATTCGCTGGAGTATGTCGTGGCCGTTGACCTCGACGCGTTGATCGTGTTGGATGAATAGAGGGCGCTGGCCTCGTATGGTGCAATAATGTCCACGTCGCGCTTATTGACCTGGTTCGTCTTGACCTTGTACAGACCAAACTTGAGGCGCGTGCGCAACTGTTCCGCCCGTGACTTGGTCTTTGTCTCTGCAACTGGTGGGGCAGGCGCTAATGCAGCTGGACGTTCTTGCTCTTTGCCTGGGTCGCTCTTTTGGCTGGCACACATTTCATAGTTGAGAAAATCGGAGAAGGACTGGTTGCTCTTTTGAGATGCTTGAATTAGTTCCGGCTCAGGCTCGGGTGATGGTGAGGGCGTGGCGCGTTCGGTAGGCGAGCCGGGATCTGCGAGTCCAATTGGGTTGTTTTCCTATGAGAATTGTCAGTCATATGAAGAGGCACAGAGCATGGTGTACCAACAGTGTGTTTTTGTATCGCGTCAGCAGTTAAGCGCACACCGGTGTTTGAGGGACTGTCGTCGCGTGCGTGAGCAAGCATCTTTGCACTTCCAATCGTCTCGGCGCCCTCGACTTCTTCTATGCCCCGCTTCTTGCTCCTGACAGTCGCATTGGGCGTCGTCAGGTTCTCTTTGTCGACAAAGTGGACCGGCGTGTTTGGGGTAACGTGCTTCAGCGGGCTTTCGGCTCGTGGGGCTTGTGATGCTTCATATGCCTTTGTCTGAGTTTGGGGCGTATTTAAGGCCTTTGGAGTGATATTTCCTAGCACCCGTCGCGAGGGTGTCTGCGAGGGCGTGTGGTAAGCGGCCATGGTCGGTCTGTGTGGCGTTGTGGCGCTCATGGTGTTGCTGCTGCAGTCTTCCGTATCCCGCGACGCGTTGATGTACCAAGGCAGATGACGCGTGGGGTTGTGATATAATGGTCTGAATGGGGCAACTGGATGTGACTGAGGGACGACTTGTACTGTTTTCCAATCCCTGATAGAAACAAATCAAAACAAACAATGTGTTTCCAGAAGGTAGTGTGGTAGTAGGCGCGTCGGGGTTGGGGAGGGCATATCACGGACACGAGCCGACGCGATTGGGGGAGGGGGACATGTCAGGGTCCAGTGCAGCTTGGCGGGATTGCAGCCTGGCCTAACTCTCTCTCTCTCTCTCGTCCTCGCTTGGTCTTCATCTTCGTCTCCCTCCTCATTGTGTGTTTATGACCGTAGTCTTGTTTTCCAGGCAAAGCTCTACACAATTGCCGATCGTAAGAAGGAAATGCTGGGTTGAGTAGTTTCCAATGGTGCTACTATGATCCCAAAGCTAATCCTGAGTCCTACCCGAAACATGCCCCTACAAGGCTATTAGATACCTACACAGGACCGACCCTACTATAAGCACTTACTCTCAGATCTAGTCAATCTCGCAAACAAAAGAACATCTAGACACTATTCCAAAGATATCAAGTCAGCCAAGCAAAAGGTAGTCGTTCCCCACATGGTAGTAACAGGGGTGATAACTTGCCGAACAATGGGCCTTCGCGATAAGATAGGGCTCCTAGTAGTCCCATTGCACCTGCACATGTAGAACGCGCCAGCCTACGGGTCTCCAACTCTCCACCTTACGTCATCTCCAGCACACCAACGCGGTTACTCGGCACCACCATGTCTCGGTTCCATGCACCTACACACCAAACCCTCACCCCCTATTCAACTGACACTTCTGTCAGAAACTGCCTGATATTCTGCGTCCCAATACACAGCCTACCACTGTTACAATCGTCTTATTTGGAGCAAAGCAAGCTTAATCATCCTTGCATGCATACTATCTAACAATTGCTCCACTTCTTCACAATGAGAGGCTTCCTGCAGAAAGCCAAGTCCGAGTTCAAAAACCTGACCCAGAACGATGCCGAGTCTAGTAGTTCACATTACCAACACCAGACACAATGTCCCCCTGCACAGCACTTCAATGGAAATGGAGCTGGTAATCATAAACAGGGTATCACCGACCCCACCTCACTAGATATTCTCCGTTATCGCTACCACCATGGCACAAACCTCGGATCTGTCTATGTCATTGAGCGCTGGCTCCAGCACTCTCGATTCCCTGAAGGCGCAGAAGGCTCCAGTGAGCTTGCAGCAGTCAAGGCATGGGTTGAAAGGATTGGCATCGATGAGACGAGAAAGAAGTTTGAGGAGCATTGGGCCAATGTCGTTTCCGAAAATGCCATCGGATGGCTAGCTAACGTAGCCAAATGTACCACCGTCCGTTTACCCATCGGTTACTACGACTTGCCCGGTGCAGTCTTCACACAGGGCACGCCCTTTGAGCCTTATGCTGAAATCTACACTGGAGCATGGCATAGCATTCGCAATCTCATTCAAAGGTTACGTACGCGCTCGATTGGAGTTCTGATCGATCTACATGCCCTTCCAGGAGGAGCAAATGCGCAGGAGCATTCTGGGACAAATAGTGGATGTGCTGAACTTTGGGGCAATCCTTTCAACCGCTCTCTAGGCGTTCGTTGTTGCCAGTTCATTGCCGAAGACACAAAATCTGGGGCTGAGATTGCTGGAATACAGCTCGTCAACGAGGCTGAGTGGGAGTGTGAACGCATGTACGAGTGGTATGATGAGTGCATAAGCGCTGTATCTGCCATTGATCCTGAAATGCCTGTCATCATATCGGATGGCTGGAATTTCTCAAAAGCTATTGATTGGTGTCTCCAAAAGAACTCAACCTACTCCTACCCGCAGTGTCCAGTCGTCGTCGATACGCACTATTACTGGGCCTTTACAGACAACGACAAAGCCAAGTCGCCACAGCAAATCATTCAAGAGGCTGGTACCAAAATGGGAGAGCTGGACGGTAAAGAAGGTGCAGTCCATGATCGCGGCGCTGTTCAAGCCATTGTTGGCGAGTACTCATGTGTCATGACTGAAGACTCATGGGCCAAGGGTGGTGAAGTACCAAAGGAAGAGCTAGTGAAACAATTTGGTCAGGCACAAAGCAAGAGGTACCAGGAGAGAGCTGGTGGTAGCTTCTTCTGGACATGGAAAATGGACTGGATGCCGGGCGGTGAATGGGGGTTCAAAGCTAAAACAGAAGATGGAAGTATCGTACCGCCAAATTACACCGCCATGTCCGCCGATCAGAGGCATGAGACGATTGAAAAGGCTCGACACGAAAGAGCAGGACTTTTTCACAACGCTTTCCAACAACACGTGGCTTATTGGACCGGTGTAGATCCAAATGGCACCTATGAACATGAAAAGTACGAACACGGCTGGCAGGTTGGGTTTCAAGACGCGCTTGCATTTTTCGAGGGGAGAGACACGCGTGGTGACAAAATCGGCATGCTCGAACTTTGGATTCTGAAGCGTATCAGAGAGAGCGGATACAGGGGCGGCTTTACCTGGCTATTTGAGCAGGGTTTGAGGAAAGGTGTGCAAGACTGCCAATTCACGCTCGGCATCTGAGGTCATGGCGCACACACCATACGGCCTCCTTTCACTCCCACTTCCAGTTCACCTAGAAACGACATTGATCATACACTATGCTATACGCAACCGATGCCGTGAACATCAGTGAAACAGTGGTAGTAGTCATACGCGCCTATGCAGATAAATGATCCTGTGTTGACCTTCGGGTGTATCGTAACATCAACTCCAGTCAACAACCCTTACTATCCCCTTTACCTTTATTATCATTTGACAAGACCCCTAAGCCATGGATCACACTCAACCCATGCAAATTGATACGAAGGCAATTCCACGCAGTGAGGCGTCGTCTCTACTTCACGATACACCAGAAGTCCGGCCATACCAAGCATACTGCGACACGGAGATTCCATCATGTCCGCTAAGTCCAGAGAATCTCGCCCCAAGTCCGTTACGGGTGAGGAAGGTCTATTCAGAGCAGATAGACATGAGTGCGCAAGCCTCAATTATAGACGCCTCTGAACAAGAAATCTCTTTAACTCGAGTTGCGACATCCGGTCCGGACAAGCAAGTCGATTTTTCCAGATCAATTCCAATGGGAAGTCATATTGGGAAACAGAATCAGAGAATGGATCAAAGGAGTTTTCTTGGAATTACTTCGTCAGCAACTTCAGATCATACCACACAGCCTATCAACCTACGCGGCAGTCACTCACCAAGTGACGATGAGGTGACCGCGTACGACTCTGAATCGGCAATTGCACGGGTGCAACCGCCGGAACACATTGATCGTGTGACGGAGCGTACTATACCACGGAGACCAGTTCCTGAGAATATGGGAGTATTGAGGATAACCTATCGTCCTTTGCCTCAGGTACCGTTGGAAAAAGTCCAGCTCGAAAGTCAGGATCGATCACAATCGACATCCGAGCATGTATGTGCACAATGTCCACCACGAACAATGGAACCAACGGACGAAAGAATGGAGGAAAGAGACGGCGAAATATATCTGAGATGCCGCCATGGTGTCCACGATGTCCCATGCATGTCATCCTCGGATCCGCCTGGATATGATGAACTTTCTGCCGCGATATTACGCCTCTTACCGGAAGACTCATTACCATCTGCCCCGTCATCTCCAGCATACAATGCACATGTTCGACATTGTGGACAAACTGCACTAGAGACATTCGGTGGTACCCACACTCGACATTCTTCGTCAACTGAGCCAGGTAATGCTCCAGGAAATGTGCATGGTACAAACAACGAGGCCACCGTTGGCCTATCGGATCAATTCGAAGACATAGATCTCGAATCCCCAAACGCCCAGCTGCCACCTCAAATCCCGGAACCAACCTTCCAGACACGCTTTCACCGGCGTAGCCATGAACTCTTCTTCCAAGTCCCCTCACATACGCGACCACACCCCGCACCCTCACTCCATTCCTCAACGGATCCCCAAAACGGTCCGCGCCCACCCCCCTGGGGCACCTACGACGACCTCGCCCTGCAACGACGTCAACGCAATGAACGCAGAGGAAGGACATATAACACACCAGGAACCATAGTGCAGGGAACCACCCTGCCGCATCAACGGACGTTGTCTGTTGAGGATGGGGGTGAAGGGCTTTCGAGGGAGGTGAATGAGTATCGAGAACAGATACTCAGCGTGTATCCTGACATGGCGTTTGATGGACACGCAGGAGAAGGTGGGCAGGAGTGTCGATGTTGTGTGGTTATGTGAGGTGGATAGGGGGATGGTGGTGTTTTTTTCGGAGGAACTGAGGGGTTGTGGACGAGGGTTTGATGGGTAGACGTTATGATGATGTAGAGGATGTTGATTTGTTATAGCTTGTGGAGACCAAGGAAGCAAAATATTAAAAATAAGAAGAAGAGAGATATAATTTGCGTGTTCATGTGTTTGATATATCGAGTCCAAGGGTGCGGGTGTTGCGTAGATATATATCCCTGCCAAAATTTAGTTTCAATTTTGAGGATCCTCGACGGAAGTACAGAACATGGCTCTTTACCTGGAATTCACACGTCTTATATGTCTTTACATGCCGAGCAAATAATAGGAGTTTGCACAACCATTCAGTTTATGTTTCGTAACACTGTCTAGTGATTCCTAGCAAATCCAGAACACTCCTTGTACATGATAATATCACAAATACAATTCTTACAGCAATGATTGCGCGCTTTGATATGTACATTCTCAGCAAGCCATCTGAATTATTGCGCGTCGTACGTACTCGCTCCACGTGCTACAAAAAGCCACACAGTGACGTATGCCGTGTAACAGTGTTATATTTCTCTCCGGGAAAACCTTCATTCTCGAAATTTCAGATGCAACGGACTTTTTACTAAGCGCCCTGATGAAGCTGCTGTCAGAAATGTTCCATCGGTGATTACAGAATTGACAGACCACCTTTTCCCAATAGTGAGAGTAACACGAGCTTAGATACATATGCCTTGACTTAGACTAGTTCAATTGGTTTTGAAAGAGATAGATAAGAAAGCGGGGTTACAAAAAGACAGTTCCGGCATCGCATTCACTCATACTATAGTCTGAGCGCAAACGCTTTCGTTTGCTTTCATGCCATTGGACGTAGGATACTCCTTGCAACCAATCCATAGCTGCTCAGTCTCTCGAGTCCGACATTCGGCACGCCTTGCCACAAAACTCTCAATATTCTATTCTCTGCAATTTCTCAAATCCAACCAACAACGGCATAATGTCCACACACTTCCATCCGCGTCCTTCTACTTCTGCACCGCAGAGTCCTGTTTGCCCTGGATCTGCTCGCCCGACCATCCGTGCCATCACGCCTTCGCCACCGCATGGCTCGAGCAACCCCATGAGCAAGAGTTGTGGTGGGCTAGAGAAGCCGAGTCACACATCACAAGGGGCGGCAGAGCACCTCTTCATGCGGCCCAAGAGTGTAGAGATGCTGCAAACGCATGATCAGATCCGGCACGCACAACAGGGCTTTCAAGGTGAAAAAGTGGATGCCAATATGCCTGGACTACGGCGAGGTGGCGCAGTAGCAGGCAGAAAGTCACCCGTGAAGCGCAGACATCAGAGTAAGAGTCAGAGAAGCAGACCATATAGCACGTCACCAGCAACATCTTTGCGGCGTAGGATGCCGATTGGAGATCGAAAGGACGGCAAAGACGAAGAAAGCGGTGCCATCAAGCAAGATGCAAGCAAGCAAACCCAACACCTAGACAACAACGACATAGACATCTTCGCCGCCTGCCCCGATACCCCCACACCAATGACAGCATCACAAAGACGCTTTGCATACCTCCCTCTCGGCACACCAACCCCAGCTATCTCCTCCCAACCCGCTTCCGAACCGCGCTCGAGAACCCATACCGCACCTCCACGTACCAAATCCGCCCCGATCCTCGCCTCAAATCGCAACCGGCACACTTCCACCTCTAGAACCAGAAACCAGCAGCCTAGCCACACATGGAAAACACAGGGTCAACACGGCACGCGCGTAGCCCAGCCCAACCACCCAAACCCCGAAGCAAACGTCGCGCCAAAACTCTCACGTTCACATCAACACCTCCATATACTACCAGCCCCAACAGCACCCCAACGCACCAAAACACCCGGCCCCCCTCCCACCGTACCCTTAGCGCGCGAACCCCTCTCCGCAACGTCCAACATATCCATCCACACCGCGCACTCGCACTCGCACCGCAGCGTCTTCAGCACGCTGGGCCGCGACGAGTTGGAGCGGAAGAAGGCGGTGGTGGAGGAAGATGAGGGGCCGTTTGGTGCGGCGGGGAGTGTGGCCGAGTTGGATGGGGCGAGGAGGAGTGTTGGTAGTGGTGGGGGTAGGGGGTGCTGTGGTGTTATGTGAGGGTTGGTGGTGGTGGTGGTGGTGGTGGTGGATGGAAAAGGAGGAAGGATGATGGTGTAAAAGGAGAGGGCAGTTAGTGTCTGGATAACGAGGATTGCGAATGGGGTGGATGGGTTATAGGGCGGTTGGAGTACCTGATATGAAATAGTTAGTATAGTTAATAGGATAATGAATAGGGAGCCATGCGTATTGAGGCAATGCGAAAGAGAAATAAGTCCACTCAATTGCTACAGCACGGCATGAATGTAATTGTTTTCCCTACTACAATTGATTTATTGGTTGGAAACACCCGTGGGAGGCATGCAAAATATCAAATTAAAGCCGTGGCAGTATGGCTGTCGCACTGAGGCAACTACAAACCCCTATAATATAATGATTTTCTTTGAATACAAATGCGAAAGCTGTTATTGTTGTAGAATATCAGAAGACTAGATGTGAAAACATCACCTCTTGGTCTTGTACCAGACACGAATGGTCTACTGAGTCTTTTGGGTTGCCCACCAGAGTAATCATGATACACGTGACTAGCCGATGCAGGACAATGCAGTGTTCCGCCTAGATACGAGGCCCCAACGGACTGTCGTAGAACTAGATAATATTCATCATGGTGTTTGAAAAGGGTTCTTTCCACCTATTGACGATGCTACTGTAGACGCCGAGAGACGATAAGCATATCCCAAAGATTCATTCACAATGGTCGAAACCTCACAGTCACTCGCAAGGTGTTGAAAAAAAAATGAAGAATCAAATGTCAGGCGCAAAACAGGTGTGCTGAAAACTAATTTCGCTTTTTGGACGACGGGTCGGAGGCATAGTCGAGAGCGGTGATAATGTCGGTACCAAAAACGATGACCATATATGAAGGGAAAATAATCCAAAGGCCACTATGGAGATGATCAGCATCATGTGTGTGATGATATTCTATGCAGAAAAGTAGAGACTCACTTCATGATAATATATAAAAAGATGAGTGTGAACCAGTCGTTGTGACGGATGTTGGCAAAGTCGGAGAAGTACTCATTGCAATCTATTTCTGTTAGAATGGAATATGCTGAACCACAGGTCCTGTATACATACAATACAATATCGTCTTGCTCAGCGTCATGACGGCAGCAGTGAAGCCAATGAGGACTGCGCGGTTACCGGACTTGCCTCGCACCTTGATGCCGCCGGCGAAGAAACCGCCTTTGTCCTTGCTCACCTCCACACCAGTACCTCCAGCAGCTGGCTGACCGTGGTTGTATACAGTCAGGGCATAAATTCCGTATAGAATGAGTTCGATGGCATTGAGCACGCCCTGTGCCGCTCCGAATCCATCATGGTTTTCCCATCCGGGCCATCCGTATACGTAATCGATAGCTGCGTAAGTTTCGTAGGGTTTCCACAGTGGCCATTGGAGTGCGCCTCCAGCCATGGTGTGCGGTCGCCCCAGGATGTACAGAGTATCCCAAAGCACGAGGGGCCATGATATAGACAGCCAGGCGAGGGTGACTTTTGAGGCTGTGTGGCACCATGTTGGCTCGTCAATTGCGGCGGGAGCAGGAGGGCTGATTTTGTCAAAAGCATTCGAGACTGCGCGTTTGGCCAGAGAAGCTGCGCCAGATGGAGACGCGCCGAAGTCTGGTGGCGCAGGCGACGCGGTCGAGTTGCGCGATCGTGGCGTCTTCTTGGTGGGCGATGGCTCCGAGGTGGGGAAGTCGCCTTGAGGGCGTGAGCGCGTCGTCACCATTGTGTTTTTGGCGGTGCAAAGCTGCGAAAAAAAGATCAAAAGAGGAAACTACAGATCCTGAAGGGATAAAAACAGCGCAATGGCACGTAGGGCAGGAGGAATGAGGTGTTGCGATGATGCTACATATCTGTATATCCAGCACCGAGCCAATGAGGGGTCGGGTCCGCGCTACCCGGCTTAATTCGTAACCTGGGATAATCTCCCGCCCTGCCAGCCAGTAGAACGCGACAGATGGGCGCCTAGCGTCTTAGCACAAATCTTAATTCTGTATCTTGTTACGCTGACCGTTGCGACTTGGACTTTGTGGACTGCTTCCAACGCCCAATTCAACAGCTGTCCGTCTTTGAGATGACGGCAGGGCAAGCTAAGAAGAAAGACAAGTTATTCTTTGGACTAGGCTACGTCTGGTTCACACCAACCAATATTGGACCATGTCGACTTCGACTTCGAATTACACAATGCCCGCTCATCTGCGGCCCTTCTCTATCCTCTCCGCGAAGTCGTGAGAGCAATGCCATGCGGCACACCCCGGAAGTAAAAACCGGCATACGTTCATCCCTTTAGGGCGCGTAGCTACGACCACGCAGCATCTTCGCCTCGTCGGCCGTGACAGTCATTAGACCTGAGCCAGCCCCATCCAGCTTCTTCTTCAGTGACTGAGCAGCACGCCTCTCCCGCTCAATACGCTCACGCTTCTCGGCCTCGTTCTGCTGACGGCGCTGACGGCGCTCACTCTCGCGGGCATCCGCATACCTCTTTGCACAGCTTGCAAAGAATGCATCAGCGGTTTCCATTGCCGTTTTGAGGCGATCATGCGTCTCTAAGAACTCCTCAAACTCATCTGCATCAGGGATAAGGCCTTTGAAGCGTTCGTGACAGAGATGGTTGACCATGGTAGTCCACAGCGAATCTTTGTCTGACGTAGCGTTCTGCTCAATGATAACAATCTCTTCATAGCTTGGAAGTTCGCTCTTCAGGTAGGTGGTGTAAGCACTTAGGATATGCGAGCAGTACCTCTCCATGCCTAGCAAGCGAGCTGCTCGTAGGACAGCGATGTCCTCGAAAAACGTCTTCTGATATGGTACAGCATGCGCCTCAAATTCGTTGCAAGCTTCACGCATCCACTTGATAAGCAGTAGGCGAACGGCACCGGGGTGGATCTGGCCACGCGAGAACCGGTACTCTAATGAGTTTGGGTGGTTAGTGAAGTGACGGTGCAAAACAGAAGATGCAGCCGTCGCGGAGCGCTTGTAGATGTCTGCGACAGATGTGTTGCCAATGTGAATGGTTATGCGCGGACCTGTGAGGAGAGCTTGACGCTGAGGACGGATCATCTCCAGAAGATTATCATAGCACTGGTCGACAATGGCAGTGGATGAACCCTCAGCACATGCCTGATCGCTAGAGGTTTTGAGCGTTGAGACAGTCGATGTCAACGACTCTGACTCCTTGTGAGAGAGCGGAGGAGAAGACAGTGTAGAAGAGTCTACGGATAGAGCCACCGCCTTTGTAATTCCGGCTTCTGGGTCAAGCAATCCAGAAGACGTGACTGATTGAACGTCCCGCTGAGTGGGCTTTTCAGCTACCAACTCCACCTTGACAGCTTTCCCGCGAGATGCCTTTTTAGTCTTCTTCTTTAATTTTGGCAACTTCGCAGCGACCGCTGCCTGTTCTTGAACTTGGTTGTCTTCAGGCTGAGTGGCTTTGATATCTGGTCGCCCAACATTCTTCGCAGTCTTGTACCGGGAGGTGTTTGTAGCCATACAAGGAGCTTGGCCTAGGCTAATGGGCAAGGAAGCTCTACATAAACATAAGTATCATATTACACTGTAATGCACTAAGCGAACTTACTTGTCGTTGGCAACGGAGGCTTGCATGGCTTGATTGGTCGGAATTATGTATCCCAAGATATGAGTAGAGTCCTCAATGATTTGTGACTAGGCAGTAGAGCTGTTGTTTGTTTGTGTATGATGACCTGTGTTGTGAGTCGCTGGATATGATCCAATGTTTGGTGAGGGCCAAAAACTTACGCTGCAAAGGAATATGTGTATTAGGGAATCATATCAATTTGACAAGAGTAACCAGTGGTCTAGGTAGAAGTTTTTGAGAGTTACTAAAGCAGAGTGTAGTGACGGGCCAGTGAGCGCGACCTTTTCTAGGTTTGCAAACGGGTAGGAGCATGGACTGCACGTGACCCTGCGGCTACCCAGAATATTAAGCAAACGGTTGCAGAGGAGACCCTGTAGTGAAATTGAATGAGAATTTATAGCTTGTGAAGTGTTTCTGAGTGGCAACACTCTCTATTTTCTTGTGCGTCAGTTTGGGGCAACATGGTTCTTCAGTCCTCAACTTGAACTAGGAAAGTAGCTACTACTTGATGATACTGCGTAACCAATTCTACCATTGAGCATTCCAAGGTGTGATCTGCAATTGCACTTCTTACTTTTTGCCTGCCTGTATACTCCAGCGAAATTTCGACCATTTTGACTATCAAGCCTCATCAGAAACTCATGTATACACTGTAAAAATCCAGCATCCTAGATTATACTTTCCTACGCGCATCAAAAAGATATGGCACTCCCGCGACTCGAGCGCAAAAAACAAACTAGCATTCATCGTGAGGAGAAAAACACACGTGGCACAGGGCAAACAACAAACAAAAGCAAGTCGCTCAACGTCCTGCAGGTGTCCATCAATGCGTCTCGGGCCGCTGCCGCATGTGCACATCCGCACGGCCACATTCTGTATCCTCGAGTGCTTTGTTTTGATCCCATTACTCATCCTGTATCAATCAAAAACACACACAAACAAAATCACTTCCATTTGAATTACTACTCCGGATACACCATCTTCCTCCCCACACCCCCATCCACCACAACCTCCTGCCCCGTCACAAACTCATTACCAACCACATACTCAACCGCCTTGGCAATATCCTCTACTTTGCCCACTCTCCCCGCAGGATGCCATGCCGTATCCTCCTCCGTCAATCCCTCCTCCCACGTGCCACCTTTCTCATCCGCAGCCCTACTCTCGTTGGCAACGTGGATCCACCCCGGGATAATCGCGTTAACCCTGATTTTATGCCGGTGACCCAGCGACACGCACATGGACTGTGTTAAGCCGAGCAGTCCGGCTTTTACGGCGGAGTACGCCTCGTGGTCGGGCTCGGCCTGGTAGGCACGGGTGGAGGATACGTTGATGATTGTGCCGGGGGAGTTGGGGGTTGAGTTTCCTTTTGCGAGCAAGGGGACGCATAGGCGACTGAGGA